TATTTATTTATTTATTTATTTAAAATGCTTCATGCACAAAATGTACAAAAAGGTGGACTTAATGCCGCAGGCATTTTCTACCAGTCTGACCTTTGGGTGATGCAGAGAAGAGTAAATGGTAGGTGCAAGAGGCAAGCAGTGATTTTATTTAACAATGAAAGATAAACTAATATATTTCGGAGATATACATACATAAATAAATTTAATTATAATGTATACCTACACATGAGTACAATATGCCTACATACATACATATATACATAATATATAAATATATACTTGCTTACTAGTACACAGTGGATAGTTAGCGCGATGATTCAGCCAACCTCTTTAGGAAAAGCTCACGTACTTTCTGCTTAAAAGTTAGTCGAGTTGAGACCATCCTGACATCCAGGGGGAGCGCATTCCACAGAAAAATTGCCTGTACGAAAAAGGATGAATGTAAGAAGTCAGTGCGATGAGTGGGACATTGGAGAAGACGGTTGTGAGAAGAACGAAGATTTTTACTGTGGTTTGCGCATAAGTATTGAAAGTAAGGGGATAGATAACTGGGTGAAGAAGGTGAAGAAAGAAAGGAGAATAGAGTGGTTAGCGCCCTTTGCTCCCTGCGCTGGCGTATGGGCAGCCACTTTAGTTGCAACCGATGTGCAGAAACATGATCGTATTTACGCAGGTTGAAAACGAATCGGATGCAGTTATTTAGAAGTCGGTCGAGCTTATTGAGGAGATCTGCATTCAGGTCGTAGTAGCAGACATCAGCATAATCGATGATAGGGAAAACCAAGGCTTGCACCAACATGGCCTTCGTAGCGGGAGGAAGCAAATTTTTTACGCGATACAGAGCACGCAATGATCCAGTAACCCCCCTGCATACATTTGTGATTTGAGCATGCCACTTTAAATTGCAGTCAATATGCAAACCCAGATTTTTGACGTCAGTACCAAACGGGATTACTGCACCATCAAAGAGCACGGCTGGTAATGATGCTCGGTCTATTCCACCCAGCGTACGGGAGCTACCTATTATAATAGCCTGGCATTTGCCGGGATTAACTGATATACCGAATCTCTCGGACCAGTTCTTGATGGATACCAGGTCACCGTTCATCTCCGAGATCGCATCAGAGAGTCTGTCAACACTGGCCTGACAGTACAGTTGCAAATCGTCAGCGTATAGATACTATTCGTTTAGTTTTCAAATTAATTTCATATTAGCCTGACTAAGCGATGTGTGGTAACAATAACATCCACCGAAAACATTTTGAAAATATAGTTGAAAGAAAGAAAAATAATTTATTTGGTACAACACCAGGCACAAACACAATACAATAAATACAATGCAAACAAAATTAGGAGTGAAATAAAAAAATTAAAATAAAACAAAAAGAGATGTAGGTAGGTATATACAAAATTTAAAAGTTAAATATATCAACAATAATAGTCATGTGCCCGACAGCTGCACCAAAAAAAACGTCCAGTTCAGCATAAATGCCAGACGTGCCTGACGCTGGTTTTCAACTAAACCTGTGGCTGTGACGCAACAGACGTAAAGCAGTAAATGCAGCGTGTGAAGTGTAATACAAAATTATTAAGTAATTAATAGTTCTTAGTTTAGTGCAAGGCTATACAGACTCAGTATACTACGTATATCCCACATGGGTGTAAAGTTCTCATCATAGCTCAAAGACCAGATAGCTTAGCTAGGTACTGTTAACAGTTTAGCAGTTCGAGCAGTTCCCTTAGCTATTATACTACTTCATCATTAGGTCCCCAATGACAACCACACCATTATTTGCTTTTTAGTTTAGTACAAAGCTATACAGACTCGTCGATGTATATCCCACATGGGTGGAAAGTACTCATCGTTAAAAATTCATCAAGCCCCAACATCAGGTAGATACTGTTAACCGCTGAGGATAGTAAATAAAACAATAAATTATAGCAACTTTTTATTAAAACTTTAAAAAAGCTTCCAAACCAAAACAAAGTTATTTGGCACAAATACATGAACATAACACTGCACACTCTGCACAGTCTAAAATAATACAAACGGAGATTCAATACAATATTAATTAAACAAAATAAACAACAAAATTTTGTTACATAAAATTACACTTACTGCACAACCAAACGATAATTTATTACTAACAAAAAAATCCAACTCTATAATACTTAGTTCCAATACATAGTACAATGTTATTTATTCGATATTTCATAATACACTGTTACATTAACGTACAAATTTTGACATCGTCTATACAGTGACGATCATACGGCCGAAACGCAACGCTATTTAATTGAAACACTACACAAAGTTGATACATGTACCTACATCTACTATATTCGCAAATATAAGGGTAAGCTAAACATTATTATTATGTCTATAACTATAAAATGCACCTCATGTCCACGTATGTATTCGATCATCAGTCAATATTTATAATCTACATTCTAACTTCACACTGCATTTTCAGATTACACAATGACTACAAGTTACCACGCAGTTATAATATTATAATATTAAAAATTAAAGCAAATATTTGTGGCAAACATCGACGACAAATAAACTGTGATGTTTCGTCCCCGCGCCAAAGCAGGGTTATAATGTAATATACACTACTGACTTGTTGTAACAGGCACACTGGTGATTAGCCATTTTCATAGAAAAAGGATCTTCATTTGTACAAAGGAATTAGGAAGGAAGGGGTGTGGTGAGCGCCGGCCGGTAGCCAGCTCGCGACGCCCCCACAGCCGACAGCTTCGAGTACAAGGGGCTCACTACTCTACGAAGAAATGTACGGCAACGACAATATATACTGTTGCCTTCTACTCTACAATACAGCAGGCTACTGCTCTGTGCCGCCTGCCAGATCTGTTAAACTATACATCAACCTATGCGTAATTTACCAATGACTGGTTAATTAGACTGTTAAGCGACAAAATGCTAGTAGTATCCACAAATACATAGCAATTATAAGAATATTATAGACAGTCGGTTTAAGTATCTCAGATAAATTCTTACGTTCCTATTATGGTTACTTTTGAAAAGAGCTAAGGTAAATACAATTTCTACACAAATATGTACAAGAATCTCGTACAAAACGTTTACAAATATAAATTTCGACATAAGCTCCGAAAATATTATTTTATAGATTGTTTTAAAAACCCTTAACAATAAAATACTGTATTTTACATAGAATTAATGTGACTGAGTCGTGTTTAATCCGATAAATCAAATTTTGAAGACATAATAAATAATAATAAGACAAAGAGAGCGTTACAGATACCATTTTAAATAGATTACAAGTTGTTACAATTAATGTCCTTGAGAGCAGAATTAGGAATGTCAGCTCGTTACATTGTAAGGCACAATTTTAATTACATACAAAATCTTCAGTCTGATAAACCTTGATTGCAAATTGAAGGAAAAAGGCTACACTTTACTATGAACCATTTGTTTCTAACAATGTATCCGCTAAAGATCTTTTGAACAGCCAGAATAATCAAAACCAGTTACTTAATTTCAGTTCATCGAAAACATTTAGAACAGCTGAGCACTGACTGTTTAAGTACATTTTTTTGGAATATTTACTCTTACACGCTCTTAGGTGTTACATAAAGAACATAAAATATTTGTATTACAGAATATAAAGTGATGTTAGATCATCAAAATAAAAGAAAGAAAGAAATACAGTAGTTAAGTAATCGAAGAGTCAATCTGCTTCAGTCTTACAAGATACCAAACTGTAAGTACTTACATTTATCAGATATTGCACTTACTATGCCTTACAGTAGACAGCCGGATTAAATCCACATTTATATGCGTAGTATGAAAATATTGAAAGATTTCACAATATGAGGTAGAATATTTAAGAGTAAACTTTACTTGAAAGATTGAGTCAGTAAACTAGTATGAAATTCAATGGGCGTAGTGGAATATTGTTAATATATAATGTTAGAAAATTCTTTAACCAATTAGACACAAAACAATAACTTCATGTGAGATTTGCTTTACATACTAAATTACATAGTTGTGGTATTATATTTACAGATCGGTGACAAGGGTACAGTGAGGGTCGTAACGCGGACTAGCATAAAATGTTACACTGTATATTTCTGAAATGTCTACCTCTTACATAGGACGCATTTGCAACTGTAATACTTACTATAGTCGCTTTGCTCTTTCATGGGTTTACGATGACGTCATCCATTCTACACTGGTTTTATTTTGTATAAAATACATAACATCACGCCTTTTATCCCCGAAGGGATAGGCAGATGTGCACATTATGCCACTGTACAATGTAACACCCACTTTTCACTATTTATATTACGAGTTCCATGTAATAAGGGGTGAGCCTATTGCCATATACCGGGCACAATTCCAGACTTCGTGCTACTACTGAGAACTTTTAAAATCCCAGTAATACTTTGCCCGACCTGGGAATCGAACCCGAGACCCCTTGCCCGGCAGTCGCACTAGCGACCACTCGGCCAACGAGGCAGTCAAAAATATAAAATCAATATTAGCAATAATTAAATGGAATTGATAAATAAACATAAATAATATTTAGATTTTAATTTCAAAATATAATTTCTTTTTATATTTAACCATAGAATATATTACTATTAAAATTGTAAAATATTGACATTAATACCACAGGGGCTGATGACTGATTTGTTTTAATTTTAATGTTTCTTAGTATAATAATTATGTAACTTTGTTATAACAAAGTAGTGCATTTGAAATAATGAGCAAAACGGGCCTGCGCATTATAAGCACGATGGTTAGTAGCCACCAAAAGTCTGTATATTTTAATTTTGAAAGTTATAATTATAAAAAAATATACCCTAGTCGATTCATTCGAGACTTTATCGGTTATTTATTTATTTATTTATTTAATATGCTTCATGCACAAAATGTACAAAAAGGTGGACTTAATGCCGCAGGCATTTTCTACCAGTCTGACCTTTGGGTGATGCAGAGAAGAGTAAATGGTAGGTGCAAGAGGCAAGCAGTGATTTTATTTAACAATGAAAGTAATTGCTCTACGGTTAGGTAATTCAATCGATATTTTTACACGATTAGATCAGCACCATACCTCTAGTGAAACTTCAATTCAAATACCGAACGTCATCCCCAAATTTTCCCCCAAATTTGGAATCATTAGCAAGGGTTGTGTTTAGATTGTTTGTTCTAACTTAGAATCATTTTTGAAAATTGTGATTTAGTTTTGTTGAAGTATTTGCATGCCATATTTATAAGCGAGATATGATGAACTAATGTTATGTCATAAAATCTGTAAATCACCATATTTCAGGCAAATAAATGAATCTATCAAAGACCAAGAGATCACAAAGCGACTTCAACACCCCGCTACGCCCCTAATGATATAGAAGATTGAATAAAGTTAAAAATTTCCCATATACAAAGATAGAGCACTACATATGACTTAATTCTACGTTACCATATTTTATGGCACCCGAAAATATTACATTAGAAAATATAGATTCAATTCAGAACTTTCTTAATACATTCAGTTCAATATACGTAAGTACGACGTACCGTTGAATATAAGCCTCTTGTTATATGTAAATGACTATGACATACTTATCGCTACGAAGACCTAATCAAGTATGCTTTATATAAAGCTAAATATTAAAGCGCGGTATACTAAATTAAGGTGCCTATACCATAATCCGAGTCGTTACATTGGTATCGATAACTTTAAAGTCGACAGTGCCCAAATAACTAGTATTAGTGATGCGTAACTTAAAAAATTTTAATCGCACCATTAGGAAGATTACAATTTACTCGAGTTTAACATATACAGTACAATACTAAACATTAATGTATGAGCCTATGTATAAGAGAGATTTCATCTTAAGTAATTGCTCTACGATTAATAGCTACTGTAGGTAATATAATTACGCTTAATTATACTGAAATACCTATTGTTCTGTACATTACACAAATTACTGTTTCATAAATCGGTAGAGATTTTCATCACTTGTCTCTTATCTCATAAAGGTATAATTATGAGAACTTTATATATTTTACGAAGAAAAATAATTACTTTTATACCATAGTATGAAGACTTTAAATTTTAATCGATAATTTGGTAGGTAGAAATTCTAATTAACTTTAGATATCACAATTTGTTATTATATCAGTCAAAAATGAGAGCTTTTAGCGAATAGATTAATTGAAGATTTAGACCTATGATACAGAATAATTTTATTATCGAATACTGATTTCCAAAGTCACTGTATGCCTACAATTAATTCAACAGAGACAAGTACTATATGTACAGTCGGCCCAACTACCATTAGCGTACACCACTCACACGACGGTAGCTGTCATTAGTTACTCGTTACAGGTATTCTGTGACTCAAGTCACAGAAGCCAATAATGCACATATCAAGTTCCTTGTGTAATAATTTTACGATAGTTACGACATGGTGTGTATCTTGGAGGACCTTTTATACGAAATCCCACTAATATTATAAATGTGAGTTGTTTATTTGGATATTTGTCTCTCAATCGCTGAAACTAATGAACGGATTGTGGTATACAAGCAGGGTATGGGCTAACTTAGGTGATATGATACTTTTTATACCGATTAAATGCTCCCACGGGATAAAACAGAAAGCATAATATTCTACGCGGACGAAGTCGCGGGCAACAGCTATATATAACGATATTACAAAAGGAGCACTACACAAAATACTTGATTTTTATATCTTATGCACTACAAATATATCAAAGAATTATAGCTACGCTTACTTATAATCGATTTCGATATATCGAATATCATAATAGCACGTTATTGTAATACTAAGTTGGTGTGACGTTAACATCATTTCGCCATAATATAAAATCAATATTTCCGACTCGAATTAAGGTATAGTCCTCCTTAATACCTATTAGTAAGGATACTTAAAATGCGAATACAAGACGCGGGAAATGCGCCATACAAAACTACAAAGGTATTGACAGAACCCTTTTAAAAAGTTTTCTTCCTATTATAGCGTATTAATTGAACAATAAAGTCGCTTTTAGACATTCATTATAAGTACATGTTAAGTACCTTAATTATTGCTACGAATATGACATGGTATTGACATGATGATAGTACTATAATCACTATACTACTGGGTACATAATGTTACGTACTTATCTTAGGTAGAATCTACTCTTCTTTTTCTTCGACGGCAGACAGGAACAGCTTTTGACAGCAGTGAGTGAATTTGGCTGTAACACAAATATGATTCTAAATTTAAAATTGTTCGTCTTGTTTTGTTTTTGTTATTTTCATATACAAATCTGTGTGTAGTACAATAAATTAAAATAAACTGCACAATCAATACGGTGACTGCCGCGGAACGTGTAGCGGGTCCGATTCCCGCACGGAGAAACTTTTTGTGTGATCCACTAATTGTTGTTTTGGGCGTAGGTGTCACGAGTATATGAAATTGTATGTTTGTAAACGCACCTCAGACACTGGAGAAAACCGCTGCCTGGCTACAATAATGCAGGTAAATATTTAAAAAGTATAATATATATAATAATAATACAAATACGAATACTTTAACAACTACTGTCATCGAATTCGTTGTGGATTTGTATGTTGGTCAGCGAAAAGCTTTAACGAAAAAGCAAAGAGAACACAAAAATTACGATATTTCAGTAAAGAATAGAACTTACTAGAAGCAGTCTCGACGAACTTTGGTTTGGAGCGCACGAGGCCGTAGTACACTGGGACTCCGGCGAGTGTCATCAGCGCGCCGGCAATGACGGCCACCGGCTCGCTCACCACCGGCACTACCAGCAGCACCGCGCTTATAGTCACGAATACTATCGGCATCCACAGTTGTACCTAGAATTATACAACAACAGGGTCAATTTATCGCACTTTGGTGTAAACTCGTGCACATCGTAAATCGAAAACCTTTCTCGAATATAACACTTTCTAATTTTCTATTGGTAAAAACTGAGAAGCTTACAAAAATCCGCTTGAAACTTTTTGAGTTCATTGCGTTCATATAGACAGAAAACCAGACAGACGCGATAGGAGACTTAAGGATAGTGTCCACTTACCTTGATAGGTCTTGGCAGGTCAGGCCTCTTGTACCGGAGCCATAGCACTGCACTGCAGCTCAACGTGGTGAAGAAGGACTCCACCACCGTGCAGTAAGTGATTAGCGACGTCAAGTTGTCCGGGATTAACATCAGAATTGAGATCAGCATCTACATGAAATACCATAATTATTAGATAGATAACGTACACTGCTGAACAAGAGGGGAGGGAGGTTCTAGGAGGGTTTTATGGAAAAGGAGGCAAACGAGCAGACGAATCACCTGATAGTGAGATATAAAAGTAATAACTTGTTGACGCAGCTAATTTCAAGGACATCAGAAAGTAGTCAGCTACGGGGGGCATGTGCTTCATATTCCTAGAATTGTTTCACGTCGTTATCTATATTTCAGCCTAAATTCATACAAAATCGTGATACATGAGCACATGAGATTAGATTACAGAAGCCCCCAAAATGTGATTTATGTGTAAACAAAGCACTAATCTCCACTAACGAACGAATTCAGATAGAAACAGCGAGTTATACAAATGTTTGAAGCACACAGGCACCTAGGATTAAATCCATCATTTAGAAACAATGTATCCATTTGCAATCCGTTGTCCATTACATAGATTTGTTGCGCGTAGTAAAGCGAGGCTTTCATCACAAGAGTATCTCTCGTCGTGGTGGGATTCGTACAGTCGTACATTCAATCGATAAGTGTTCGAATGCATAACGATGTATCATTGTCAGAATGTCACTGTAGAAAATTGAGTATACTCTTCGAATATGGGAGTGATTGATGATGTAGTGATCATAATTGGTTTTGGTTATAATTTATTAATTAATAGGCATTCGAGAATTATTCAAATTAGGAGTACTGTAAACGTACAAATTAAGATTCATAAATATAAACCCAACTTTTCTCGTTTAAACGCGACGCTATTATTCATATCTAACTTAGTTTGTGTACAGACCTGTAAATAATTATAAATGGCCTTCGAAATGACGCTTAGTTTGATCATTTTGATGGATCGTAAGAACATTGTCCTGATTCTATGTATAGTTAGTTGATCAAGAAAATTCATTTCGGCAATTTCTTAACGTTTTGTTTTGTAACTGCAACTGCATCATTTACTTCTCTGAACTAGCAGATAATGCTTTTAGCACTAATTTCAATTGTGTACCTGGTATAAAAAAGGCTTGATTATAAAATAAACAACTTACCAAAAACACAAGGGAAGGCATCGGTGACATGCATTTCACATTGATGTGGGCTAGTAACTCGGGCATGTGTCCATTGCGGGCGCCGGCGAAACACATGCGTGATGATGTCATGATGTGCACCGACAGACCGCCCAGAATAGCGATTGCGACCAGAGTAGGCATCGCCCATCGTAGGAAACCCAGGCAAGACGTTGCAAAGTCCTAAATGAAATAAGGTAGGTATAAACAATAAGGTTTCCTCCTTCGTCGGTATCCAGGGTGTTTTTTTATTATATAGCTTGCTATATAATAAAAAAACAAATGACTTGTCATTTTCAACACTTACCACGGCTATAGCCTCAGTAGCCAATACTCCCAGTGGCCCAAGAACAGCCAGGTACGAGACATTAGCCAGCAGGTATATCGCGGTCACCATGGGCAGGGACACGTAGATCGCTCGCGGAAGATTCACGAAGGGATCCTTCAGTTCTTCTGTCATGAAGTTTAGGTAGTTCCTAAGAAAAGATGATTGGAGAAATTATACTCTTACTTAAGCGTTACGCCTAAGTGTTGCCTAAATGTTAAATAAAATTGAAATAATGAATTTATTTTTGTACATAGCCTACATACTTTTTTTTTATTAGGTGCAGTATAAAACTCAGTAGATGAGTCCGGAGAATATTTAGTCTTCCCCAATTCTTTCTATGAAACAGCTATGGGTTCCAACGAGATGATTGCTATGACAATAACAATCAGAGGTCCAAATCTATGATCATCGAATTGTTATCTTGTGTTTTAATTAGCCTTACATTAGCTACAATGCATTATGGCTAATGCATTGTAGCTTCCATTGTTCGTGTCTCATCAGCACAGCTCAGTGACCTGTGCTGATACTAAATAGTATCAACATTTGTGTAACTGTATTCAATGCAACATCCACATTTCGCTGAGTCCTATGTACTTATTAGAGGGTGAGTCTATTGGTATATATTCATTATCAATATACATAGTATAAAACAAAGTCGCTTTCGCTGTATGTCCGTATGTATGCTTAGATCTTTAAAACTACGCAACGGATTTTGATGCGGTTTTTTTTAATAGATAGAGTGATTCTTAAGGAAGGTTTGTATGTATATACATATTGCACCCGTGCGAAGCCGGGGCGGGTCGCTAGTATTATATATTCTACCCGAATCCGTATAACTAATTAGAATACTAATTGAAAAATAGAACTAAATATTCAATAACATATAATGCTGAATAGGACTCAAGCGCATTGTTCTGTATCTATTATTTATTTGCTTTTAGACTAATGAGACCTATTATTTTATTTACTTGGATCACATTACAGTTTCAGTGTTAGTTACAATGGTACTAAAGTTCTGTTGATAACAAAGAGGGTACTAATTAGGTCACATGATTCCCTTCCAGATGGATGAGCTGCTCGCATCATGTTCGTGGACGGTCATCGACTGTTGAGACTAGTCATCCGATGCATAATACAATATCAGGCATGTGCATTAAAGTTTTAAATTACATTCCATTGCCCTCACATACTCTGTTCATCGTGCAAAAAGATGATAAACGTGTTCGAATAACAGACGTTAAAATACTTATTGACGTCTACCTAAAAGTTTAACTAGTTCTCTCTAGTTTTGCATATTGCCAGATATAATAATTAGGCTTTTTCGGATTTTCGAATATTCTTCGTAGTGGGTACCTAAGTCTAGAATTTCGCTGGTGTATGGCAATAGGTTTGCCAACTACATCATGGATTTTATAACATACTTGCTGAAGAATGCGAGCTGGTTCACTGCTACATAGATGATAATATTTTAGGGATCACGAAATGTGACGTTATGTGATGTTATATTAAAATTATTCTTCTAAAGGCCGATTTTTTCAACGCCAGATAACTGAGGAATAACTTTGAATATTTAACAATTCTTCTATAATAAAATGTGTCAAATGTCAAATTTCTACAGTTTGGATTAACTGATGATTGAAAAATATAACCTAAGTTAGATTAAACTTAATTACAAAACGAGTTACTCAAAACGAGTCTCAGTTTAAATACAATAAAATCGATAAATAAAGAACAACAAAATTTATCACAAGGATGTAGTCGAAGTAGACAACGTAATATTGCGACAGCATTTTTAAAATTAGCCTAGTCCTGCCTTAGCGTGCTTTGAATACGCAAACAGTTAAGCAAAACTTTGCGCAAATAACAAGACGTTGCCTATTTGCTTTTACATTTACGGTAGCATTACATTTCGTCTATGTAAACTAACAAGTTTAAAAAAAAGATTATTTGTGTAGAGGAAACTAACACTGAGCCTGGTATGTCTTATTATTGCTTACGTTCCGCAGTGGACATTTTGAGGCTGATATGACAAATATTGTGCCCTTACTTGACCTCATTCTGAAAATATATCCATGGAACACCCTTTCCTAGGTCCACCCTTTAGGTGTTCCACCCTTTCCTGGTCAGAAAAACCCGTCAGACTATTATTAGCTTTTTTTTATACCACGACGCCGACAATTGCCAAAAACATACGGCCTACCATCGGGTAATAATAGGCCACAGTAACCATGGGGCTACCGTGGCCTATTTATTCTTGCCTTGAAGGACCCCTCATATTGTAGGAAAACCTTGGCAGCTGAGAACCATGCCAGTGTCCCGAAAATGTGTAGATACGGTAATCGATTCCGACATATATTCTACTATCGTTAGAATACTATCGCAAAGCTCTTTTATCTTTTTCAATGACTAATTTCCTCTTTATAACATTGTATTACAGATGTGTAATAATTGATAGATCAAAGAACCATTGAATTGCTACTTAAGTGTTTAAAACAAGTAGGTACCTAAAACCACACAAGCACCGAGTTATTTTCCACAGCCAATAAGCACTTCTATTTACGATTTTCCTTATTTGAAACTTTAACCTTACTTAGTGCCGTAAAGGTACCATAATATGGTCGTGAATTAGTTTTTTTTTATGTTTTATCGGTAAAACCCATAGCTATAAAACCTGCTTTCCTGTTTTGTTATCGCGATTCTGTGTAATAATTATATTTTATTTTCCCGGCACAAGATGCAACATTTATGCTAGGGCATGCAATCTCGATCTCGCAAGTTCTCGTCCTTTTTAGCGAGATTAATCTTGGTCAAAAGACGCGAAATTAACGGGAGTGATTTTGCCGCCAATTTAGTCTGCGTAAAAAAGAAATATTTCAAATCAAATGAATGTGCAAACGATCAGAAACTTTATTTATTTATTGTTTCCTTATTACTGTTGTTTTGTACAGTTTCAATATACCTATATAAGTTCAGATTATTAAGAAATACGCGAAAAATTTATTGATATAAAAGTTTATTTAAGCATCGATGATAAAAAATAGTGACAAAAATAATTATCTTATAATCTCACTATTTTTCCTAATTGATTCAAATATTGTGATTATTAATTGCAAAAAAACATACAACTCTGTCAATTTCGAGATCTCACGAGATTGTATTTTATAATCCCGCGAGATCTCGCTTGAGCCCTATACTTGCGAGATTCGCATTCCCTACCTGTATTCTTAATTAAGAATTCTACTGGTTTTTTAACCTTCAAGCGGGCGCGCGTAGTCGAATCGACCGCGGTTAATACATTTTCGTTCGTATTTTTATTTCTAGTTGCCACATGCATTTCTAATTTCTAGTAGCCTGTCACTATCTTTTTAGGAGTAAAATAAAAACTATTCCGTTGCATGAAGCGCTCTCTCTACTCCAAAAATTACAATTGTTTAGGCTCTGGCGCAATCGTTGAAAAGACTACACGCGCCTGTCGTCGAATAGGTTACGCGCGACGCTCAACGCGACATACACATGTCAGTATTATCTAATTCAGCTTGGAGTTTTGGTGTTTTAAAGCGTTTTTTTTTTAAATAGTTAAGTCGTTTATGGTTATCGCAAAGTGCAGTAATCGAGGAATTACAAAGAGAAGACGAAGAAGAGAGTGAATCAGAGCTTAGCAACCAAGGCTCTGAAACTTCTCATCACATAGTTTTAGAAGAACATCTGTCTGATGTGATATCATCCTTGTCGGATTTAGATGAGAATAATTTGTAGCTTTCGGAAATAAATAGCTGTTTTACAGGACGCGATAAAGTTACGAAGTAGCAAAATCTGAAAAATTACTAGAATACTGACTCAGACGAAAATAAAATCAAAATTAATGAGTTTTTAGAGTTTTATCCTTACTTTTTATTTATTTTATGGTCTACGTATATAAACCAACCTAACAAATGTAAACGGGTCTTAATTTTTATTTTGATCCGAAGAATATTTGAGTTACTTTAGGTGACTTAATAATTGCTTCTTTTTCATAATTTTAATTACTTGTTGTGACAAATTTCTCTTTAAAGACAATCATATTGTATCTTAGTATAAATTAATAAATGATTATCCCATAATTATTGCTTTCTTGGTCTTATTCATCCCATAGGTCTATTCGGTTACGCGCGCCCGCTCCCGTTACAAAAGACCGCGCGCCCGCTTGAAGGTTAATGCATAGGTAATGCTGTAAAGTAGAAAATCTATATAAGTAAATGTCTTTCTAGTAATAAAACGTTGTATAAAAACCCGTCCAATTTATTGAGACGTGTTTTGTCACGTGAGTTCCTGATCTGTTCTTAGGCAATCTGCCAGCTCTAGTGTTAACCTATTAACCTGATTTTATTCACAATGTCGATCTAACACACTGCGTACGATGTTTCGTACACTAAACGTAAAGAAACTATAACTAACATTGGGCGAAAAAGCAAATTCTTTAGAAGCTTTCCATGATAAAGCTATTTTAAAAAAATATTCGTTTAATACATAGAATTGTGCGTCACGAATATAAATATTAGTGCTTGTTTTATGTTCACATTGAAAGAATCGTTGTTGGATTGTCAATCATGTTCGTTGAGAGAAATATATAAAGTGGAAAAATATTAAAAATTATTACACTTACCAGCCTGAGTATGAGAAGATACCGGAGTAGAATGCAACGGACCAATCGCTGACCGATGACTTCGTGCCAGCCCATCCATCCTCGAAGTGTTCAGTCCCACCTTTTCAACAAAAACACAACACACATTTTTCATTCTGTTAGAGAAATATTAGACAATGTTATCTTCTTTATCAGGCTATTGAAGATGAAGATAACATAGTAAGAGTACCTACAATACTGGACTACGTCTCATCTACAAATGGGTCGGCCAAAATCTCCACGGGTCGCAGACGGGTTGAGATCATAGTGTAAGTGGATCAGGTTCATCAGAGAAGGCCCTTCGTAGAGTCTTACATCACCCATGGAAAGAGGTGGTATCAATAGTGTTTCTGCTAAATACGGCTGCCACACGGCTAAATGATAAAGAAGCTCACAAGGAACCCTAAACAACGTCGACAATCAAATCAGACAGACGTTGGCAAATGATGTAGGCAAGTGATTGGATGTACACGTGACCATATTGCCTAACAAAGGGTTTCGGTCTTTACTCTGTCTACCCGGTCTAGTGTCTAGTCATCTAGTGTGTCTAGTCACAGCGTTGTATGTCTAATAGGGAGCGCGGCTATGTAAACACATCTCACGATTGTTTGAAAATTCTTAAAAAGAAAAATAGACGACATTTTCTTATTTCTAAAATCTCGTCTAATGGACGTTTAGGTGTGCCAAGTTCAAAGGTTTTGATATAAAACCGAAATCACTCTACGCTAAGGTCTACAATTGTTTGTTCTTAGTCTGCAACGACAGAATAATTCAACCACCTCCAATAATACTAAGATTTTGTTTGAGTGCTTTTAAGACTTGTTTCGGGCGTCTGGTCGTTACTCCCTCAACGTCCGATACCCCTACGGAGGTTAATGACCCTACAGGCTGTATTTGTTCGAACCTGTACACTCTAAAACGCATTAAATGCGAAAACAAAGCTTTGAAACCATTAATATTAAATTCCTTTAGTTCATCGTATAAACAAATGAAGATTACCACTTAGCATTCTTAATAATTGTCCAGTTATGATGAATCCTGTATAATTAAACTGCCGCCCGTTCTCACAAACATGTTATTATTCTCAAACGGAGTATGACAATCTTCATCATAATAATTATTGTTCTCACGAATACGGTAATTAAAGTGCGTATTTATTTAACCCAACAGTAGAATATATAGTCACCGATTCTGCATATTGAATGAAGTCTTTAGGTATATATTTCGGATCTCCGGGTAGCTAACAAATATCGCTGTAATAAATAACAGTTCTAACAGGAAAAATAAAACGTTAATACCTATGTTTCAGATGTGAATGCAAAACTGGTTAAAAAATTAAATTCGCAGCGACTTCGATCAATGGGGAAGATGACAGGGTATGAAAATTAAAAATATAATTAGTCCGTAACTTAGGTAATAAAAAAATATTAGACACGTATTTTTTTATTTTGTTGTATAATAAAACAATACTTAGATAAAACGAATCAAAGTTTAGGAGTGGGGGCTAAAACGTCATTTCTTAGTATAAAATGTACTGAGAAGTGACGTCACGCGACATTTCAAATCAATATATCTTCGAAACTATTCGTTTCCGTAAGAAAATAAAAAATACGTGTCTAATGTTTTTAAATAATCTACCAGACGGACATTAAAAAAAAAATTAGTCGTCTTCCCTATTGTTTCGTTTAAAATCGATTTGTTATAATCAAATTGTGATAATTCACAATGTACTTACATAAAAAGAAATCGGGTAATATTGTAAGATGGATCATTGAATGCTGCTCAGTTATTCAGATTTCGATGATTATCTTACCGACATATTGCGAGTAAGAATGGTAACTTCAGAATTAACAAAGTAAGCAATTTTTATTTTTTTTTATACTTTTTACTCAGGTTATATTATAATTGTAAAGTTAATACAGCCTCGTTCGTAATCGTGTTGAACCCTGAAACCACAGTTCGTCAGAAAATGATTGTACTCGTATTAGGCCTCAGATTATTTCTAAGTCAAATTACAGTTTCCTAGAGGTGTGTTGAAGTTTTTAATATCCTCAGGTGAGCAGGTCTTAAATAAGTCACGAGGTTACATAGCGCCACTTGAGATGTCACTGTAAAAATAAACGACGCCTCTAGACGCTAATCTAGGACGCTCTCGACATTTAATCTAGCTCCACCTGCAATTTACACTTAGTTACCCCGTCCCATACCTAGCGCTTTATCAAGCGCCAAAGGTTTTATTTATTTTATGCCTTGCATTGTAAGCTGTCTTTATTTTATAAACTTTCAATACTTATTTAAAATGAAGAGTTAATTTCGATTGATGAGAATCAAAATATCCGTGATACTTCTTCAGTAACAAAAATATAATTTCGACAACAGTTTTTAAACATTGATTGTAGTCGGCGAACTGTTTACTAGGTTCATCTACATGTCCACAAAGGTGGAACATGTGAAATAGGTATTGTGTATACGTATACATTATATTATACTAGCTTTTACCCGTGGCTTCGCTCGCGTCACAAAAGCATAAAATGTAGCCTATGTGACATATACCAATACATACAGCGCCATCATACCAATACTTTTGTTTTCCCTCGGGAATATTAAATTTTTCCGGGATAAAAACTACCCTATTATTTAATCCAGACTTCTAACTTCACGTCTGCAAAATTTCAAAGCAATCGGTTTAGTAGTTACGGCGTGAAAGCGGAACAAATAAACAAACAAACAAACTCACTTTCCAATTTATAATATTATATATATATAGTAAGGATAGTACTCGCTGTTGATGGCGAATTTGTCCACGTAGAATATGATTCCTGGTTTATATCTTGGCTGCACTTACTCGCGATGAAAACATTATCACCTAAGTCAGCCCCTGTATACCAAATATGATCAAAAACCGTTCAGTAGTTTCTTGCATTATTGACGGACAAACATCCATATCCATCCATTCATATTTATAATATTAGTGTGATGTATAGAAGAGCTGTTTTAGAGTAAGATGACATACGATTGTTATTAATTAATGTACTACGTACGTACTACGATTATGATCCAGAAAACACCCAAGTACCTCTAGCCTAAGTATGAACGGAAACCTTGTGAAGTTGTAAAGTGGAGTCTTAAAGTAAGTGAACGGGTACTTCTTACTTAGGTTACGATAACCGTTTTCTCTAGGTCGTGAGTGGAAACTTAGTGAAGTTTGTATAAAACTAGAGTAGATTTTAGATACATAGTGCCCATACCTTTGCCCATCCAGATGATGCCGCCGACAATGATGATGACGAGCGCCGTAATCTTGGTGAACATGAACACATTCTGGATCCTGGTCGTAAATCTGACGTCGTATGCGTTTATAAACGTGAGGAAACCTGTAGGACAAAACAATAAAACATTATGGACAGTGTACAAATGGAAATACAGGACACCGATACTGGAAACTGGATGATTACTACTTTAATAATACTCGAATTTCTCATAATTTCTTGCAAGTAAAGCATGGCTGATGAAATTGGACAACCAGAGACCAGATTACAGACTATTTATAACCATATTCCGTATCTACATTCGTTATCCTGTACTGTAGGATTATATTATGTCCATTCCTACATGGCCTCTAATAAAATGGGGATTACAATCATATAAAAGGAAAACTGCATATTCCTCACAAGTGACTTTGGGTCGAAGATTTCTAACTGCCACAAAGTCGATCTGCGTTATTATTTATAATACACCGATGTACTTATATATTTTATCAGATATGAAAATATCAGAGTTCATATAGTATACCGTAACGAGTTATGTTAATCCATGCAAGCTGTGTTTTGAGAGTAAAGGTGAATAACCTTTACGTATTAGGAGAGTCAACGGTACTTAGATTCGCATTGTTTTGTAGTTCTAGTAATACGCTATTGTTTCGTAGATACACTATGTTAGTTAGTAATAGTAACAACAATGATAATTTCCCAGGATCGTTCATTCAATGTTTTTTCTTTAAAGTATACTAAGTACCGACCAAGTAACAAGATTCGAGGATCATTAGTGTGCTATATCAGATCTGTGTTCCATTTAAGTGTGGGAGAGCCATGCTTCGGCACGAATGGGCCGGCTCGACCGGAATGATACCACGGCCTCCCGGAAAAAACGTGAAACAACGCTTGCGTTGTGTTTCGTCGTGTGAGTGAAGTTACCGGAGGCCCAACTACCCCCAACCCTTCCCCAATGCCTGATTCCCCAACAATCCTCAAATTCTTAATCCCAAAAGGGCGGTAACGCACTTGCAACGCGTCTGGTATTCCAGGTGTCTGTCTTCGTATTATGTAAAAATGCGATTGCAAAACAGTTTTTGAAATAGCCAAAACTACACGTTCTGTCCAGATCATTATAATTATTGTATAACAGTTTCATCACAATGAATTAGAAATGTACATAAATTATGATATACCTACCTAATTTCTCATTCTTACAATGTTGTGTTAAGTGGATTTAAGTAGACATTTGTAATGAAGTGTGTACTTGTACATAAGCTATGATTACTAATTGGTAAAATTCCTTGTAGGTATTTAAAATACTTGAGTGATTGAAACAGTCTATAATAATGGTACGCATATGACCTGTGCAAACAATAATTCCAAGAATGTTACCACAAAATACTAAGAACAATAAACCTTTTAAACTGCCTACAATAAATTCTTAGAGGTTTCTAATAAATCTTCAACTTATTAAATCTTTCCTTACTAATATAAATAAAGTATACAGCGCGGTATGTTTGTTTTTCTTTTACGTCGCAACTGAGCGTTTTTCTGGTACGATTTATGTATCTCGACTGTCTCGAGGTAGTTAGAAGGCTGGAAAAGGGATATAGGCTACTTTTTTCCATAGAAAGATAAAAACAGGAAAACTATTTTTGTTGTTGGTACCTAATATAAAGAAGTTCGACTTCATTGTAGTTATATGTTTTTCCATTTTTTAAATGAGGATATAAGGCGCGCTTGTCATCCCGCGACAAGCTAACCAAGCTTATTATTGATGGTTTAATGTGATGATCGAACATGATTGGTTTTATTTTACACTTGAAATAGTAATCAGAGCACAAGCCCTCAAAAATACCTGTAACAGTGTAGATAATCGGAAAAATAAAGTTTCCATGATACTTACATATAGTGACAGCTGCAATAAGTTTTCTACACAAGGGGTCTATGGGGCAGTCGGGAAATATTGGGTCCAGAATGTTGTTGGCGAAGGTCAGTGACATTATAGCGTTTGTACTCGGCCTAGAACAAATATAGCATTTATGAATAGTTCTTAAACTACTAGAAAATGAACTAAATAGTTTATAAAAAACCTTTCTCAATTCAAGTGATTTTAAAGTATTGTTCGAGGATAACTTCGTCATTTATAAAGGTGAAATATAGTTATTTACAGTGCAAAACCATACCTTTGGTTTTGGATAATTCTGAATATCTGATAAATGCAGTCATTTATTTTTAACTTTAATTCGCATCAACACATCAATATCAAAACTTTGTATAACAAAACCTGCACCATTTTGCACTATCAATAACAATATGTAAAATTTTTAAAAATATTATTAGCCACAGCTATTACAAAAGCCAAAGTTCACATAATACAAGTTCAACCCAGTTCATCATCAATAAAAGCAATAAATTGACTGGTTCATAACACTGATCATGAAGATTGCAACTTAATTAAAGTGTTTCGTACATGCAATTTAAAGGTTGAGTAGTTATTGATTCTGTTTCAATTGGATTGTATTACAATACCAATCACATTATAGAATTTTTAATGTTTTCAATGTACAGAATTTACACTTGTACAGTTTTATTATATGTATACATAAGTAATATAGCATAGCATGGAATTTTTATACATAGAAGAATGTCGCAGGTGCGTTCAAATTGGTATGTATTAAAACAAATTTTTAATAAGATTGAATACACTAAATCTTACTAAAAATCTGTAGTTCATTATTAGTCTGCCTTATTATGCCTTAGCCCAGAAAACAGTTACTTAAATTATTTTATTAACTACGCTAAGCCAAAGTAATATGATTCAAGTTGCTGTATAAGTATGAAGGTTGGCTGTCAGTGGAGTCACAAACTTCAGTAGTAGGGGAACAAGGAACAAGTGCAGTAGTAACAAATATGAATACTTACACAAATACTAAGTTAGCGTCCCATAAGTACAGGAATGCAGGTAATGGTCCATAGGCCTCGTTAATGTAATGGTAGTCACCACCACTCTGTGCCAATGTGGTACCTGAGTTACAAAGCAAGAATTATTTTATTTTCAATTATTAATAAAATAAAAAGAGTATGTAGGCTTAAATATTTAGAGAATGCGGTTGTTTTATTTGGGTGAGTAAATGGTCATATCCATGAAACCTATTACAATTTAAATAGTAATAATACAACTACAAAAAAAATCCTAATAAATATAATAAAACTAGAGAATAGAAGTGATTTTTCTAATTTAAAATAGACGGGTACTTACCCAACTCTGCGTAGGACATGGCGCCAAGGGTTGCTAGGCCTCCGCAAGCGGCCCAAACAGACAGTGCACCCCATACCGACCCTGTTTTTTCCAAAACCTCCTTGGGCGATATAAATATACCACTACCGAATATTATTCCTAAAATAATAGCTACACCTTCCAGCAGCCCGAGCTGCTTTCGCATCTTCACTTTTTCATCACTCATTTTAGCGGTTTTATTTATTTGTAATTACTATTCAACAATTTTCCAATTACAAGAGATTAAATTCATACGACGACTGCACTGCAGCCCTAGCCAGTCTTAGATATAATTACATGCTCTGTGGTTTTAGACTAACCTATTTAAACAGTAAAACAGACGCTATTTAACCTTTCGCATTTCTAATTAGCATTTAATTAAAACCAATGTGGGAGTTCGTCTCAACTCAATAGACTTTATTACTTATACTTCCTTGCCATAAGTTAATTTAGATTACGTATAAATTAAAAATAAATAACACTAGAACAATTAAATCGGAAACGGCGGGCGCCTGCAGCACAGGCACAGAATAAAAATCTAATTACTTTCCCACAGAGACTATATAGACGACTTATCCCACACACATCACATCACTTTCCAAACAAGACGACGTACGTTTCACAACTGCCCGGAAACCGTTCCTTGACCAACCAAACAAAACAAAACACTAGTTTTAGCGTCGCGGGGGATGCGCACCGGAGCGGGGTGTCTGTTGGTTGATCACTCCACGTTTAGGTTTCGCGCGGTAGTAGATTTCTGCAAGATATTGCGTAGTCCTTTTCATACAAGTTTTTTTTTTAATTTTGTTTAGTGCAAGGGAAATTCAGCTGTGTATGACAGCTTACACCAACTTCTAATTTCCTATCAACTCTTCCAAATCCCTATCAGTTTATCGTGCATTAAATGTAAGTTGCATTATTTATATAGACACATAGGTTTCTAATGAAGTTAAGACATAAGATTGCAGAAACTTCATAAAATATTTGGCATTACTGAACGAAATCAAATTGGCCATTTGCATTTGGCAGCTCCGATGTCAAGACGTCAATTCGACGACTGTCAGATTTGAAGTTCACCACAGATAGAAAAAACTGAAGTGCGGTGTTTATTTTGCTTTTTTCCTATTTTATTATAACTACTCGGATATTCTTGTTAAATTTTTGTAAAAGTATTGATAAAAGAAATGCTCTAATAACGTCTTCCTTTAGAAACTTTATCGCATTTAATAGGTAAGGTCTTCTGGTTGTAAATTACTTCCGGCAGATTTTCTGTTTGTTTATTTCTCCACGTACTTACTGAAACGTTTTAGGAGGTTTTTTTATTAGAATGTTGTCCTTAATGTAAGGACCTTAAATAGAAACATATTCTTAGAGTTATTCTAATAAAAAGTGTTTTGGAAGAATGTGTAGCTAAAAGTTTGCACCACAATACAGCTTGAATATTTCATGTTGTCTATCTTAGTTTTAAACTGGAGGACACCGCACTGCAAATTAATGACTATGGTGACGTCACAATATTCTGTATACTTGAATGAAACTGTATGGAAATTGTTTTGGAAAGAAAATCTCAGCATAATTTATTTATTTTTAAAATTTGCACCACATAAATCGAATCTTAGAAAGATGTCGCCTTTATCTGTGCGGAAATGAGGTCTTATTTGCTAGATATTATGCTTATCCAGAAGCATATCATGTATGATTTTGTTACTTTGAGATTACTGCCTTAACATATCTATAAATATTTCAAAGAGGCAACAATTAGATGTGGGACTTCAGAGAGGTTTTTTTAGATAGCATATCCTAATATATAAAAAAATGCAAATGCTTGTCAAGAATAGCAACTTAACAAAATTCAAAAAATTATAAAAACAAAAATGAATGCAAATGGTACATCTTGGTAAAGAATGTGCCTATTATCATTTATTTAATTATTCAAAATCCAGAGTAATCCATCATTCCAGATATCACATCATACTATCAAATTACTGACTACTAGAAAGGCCAGAGGCTGACTCACAATGCAATATTCATTGCATACAACTTGTATTGTTTTGATTGCAGTAAAAACACCTCATTATGAAGAATACTGGACGATAGTGGCAGTGTGAACAATGTTTAAAATAGAGTCATATGTCACACCCATCCTGCTGAGCTACGTGGACAAATATGTGCGAGACTTCAAACCAGCTGATGCACAGGTGAGGCTAGTCAAACCAAAACTACTTATATGTTTGTGCGATAGAGTTTGTTTTTCTCTAACAACCACTAGCGAATTTCTGAAGCTTCTGTCTGCAGCTCGCTCATGTTTATGCCTGTTTGAAGTTAGATAGTTAAATATATAATTGTCCAATTCTTGTCTATCTGTAAAATCTTGTGTAACAATTTTACAGCAAAATATTATATTGAAAGTGATATATTTTTATGTGTAATGAAGAATTCTTGTTTTGATTCTGTGATTACATACTGAGCTTAGGAGATGGGGATTCAATAGTTATTCAAGCAATAGTAGTAAAAATAAAATCTCTGGGTATTATTACTTCTCGAGAGAACTGGCTTTACTTTTACTGGTTTTAAATAAATATATAAATAATAATAAAGATAATTCAAAAATATATCTTAAGAATGTACAATTGATCTCACATAGTTAGATGCCTGTACTGGGACAAACCTGTATTGCAGGTGTGAGGATCTCTAAATATAATTCTTAGTGTAGAACATCTTAGTTCTATGAAACAAAAATACTTAACATTAAATATTCTGTTATATAACAGAAAACAATATAATATTAAATATACCAAATAAATATAAGTAAACATTATAATTAAAATTCAATTAGAAACAAAAAATCATGATTGCCGAGGAATTACATGCATTTGCAGAAACATATACTAGGCTAAAGTCCATAACCGCGCGGAGGCAGCTATAATATGCACGAAGTGTAGTTATAATATGAAATGACATTTCTATATTTAATTCGTGGTGGTCCCGAAAATACCAGGTTGGCGATTTCAAATTTCTGATTATAAGTTTGAAATCGCCAACCCTACTGCTGCAACTGCATTGAGCAAGCGTGGATATTAATGCTCAAACCTCCTCCGTGTGACAAGAAGGTTTTGCTCAGCAGTGGGCACTTATAGGCTTTTGATGATAATCATGATGATGATGATTGCAGTACTTTATGTACATGTTCTACCCGCCTGCTTTAGACGTCAGTGAGTAACTTGTATGCTGTAATCACTAATGAATGGCCTATAAAAATATTTTATTCTTAAAATATTTTATAATGAAACTGCTACTAGACAAGGTGAACTTTATATTTTCATTATAATAATATTGAGTTACATTATTAAAATATACAATGTAACATAATTTGTATTTAAATATTTCTTACTGCCGAACGAGTTATTAATGATGTAATCATTAAAATATTGTCATCAAGGAAATTGTTTCTTGTACCTATCTATAACTCGTATACTACAGATAAGAACTGCATGATTCATTCCAATTTGACTAGCTATTCTAATCTTGTGTCATAAATAAGGTTCACATTTACAAAACCGACTTTATCAGGCAATAAAAGTAGTTTTAAAAACTTAGCTTCCCTCGACACAAGCGCAAGGTTGATAGTCCGTAATTATGTGTCAGTCAGACTCATGTATTATGCAAGTCGCGTTCATACTGCCATTGTAAAAATCGAAAAATAATTTGTATAATGTGTGAGGACTTGCCAGCCCGCACATGCTGGCTAAACCGCGATTATTGCAGTTTTACTGTATTCTAAAATAAGTTTATCGATTTATAGGTTTTTACCTACTGTTATTCTGTAGGGATTGGAATAAACTTACAGCTTAACCTTCCATAGTTCAGATAACTACGCACTTGAAAACGCGTGTTTGTATTCATATTTTTACCAAAAACAGCAGTTAAAATAACGTAGCATCCCCATTTCTATATCAATTAATATTTAGGTACCTAGACTAAGAGTTAGAGATATACCTAAAACCATTAGCGTAAGTCATCGAATCACTATCGCTAATGGCCTAGCTGTTAGCGTAGAGGCGGTACTCAATACTCGTGCATACGTTAACTCGATCAATATCAGATTAATAGTAACTGTAATTTATTTGTACTACATTTCAGGGAATTCGGCGAAAGCGAATGACTAATTAGTTTACTTTGGAGTACCTAGAACAAAAACAACACTTCCTTCAGTCGGATAAAAACTTTGTTTGCGATGTCGAGTAAATTTTTCAATTGCCTTGAAAAAGTTAACATTATACGAAGTTTCGGTAGGTTTTGGAGGAACAACACTGCGAAGACCACGCGGGGGAGTGGGACAGAGATGCCTCCTTTTGCGAAGCAGTCATGCTAGCTAAGGATCTGAGAACCTCCTCACGCCCCAGCCGTAGGGATAGACACTCATGGCGTCGGGGATCGCGAGACGTAAACACAGACCTGCAGACGGTGAACACGGTTAACTCGCCACCCGACCACAAACGCAGAGCGTGCGGTGCGGCGCGTCGCGTTTCGCGGGCGGTTCAAAGAGTAGAGTAGAGTAGTAGAGTAGAGAGTAGAGGCGCGGAGAACTTAACGGGTTGCCGGGGCTCCGGCTCGAAAAGCAGAAGTAGGAATGGGGTGGTTTTTAGTCAGAAGAGTGATCTTAATTATCCTATTAATCTTAATGTGTGTACGAGTGACCCACAATCTAGAAGACTCTTGGAGTCGACTCATCACATGACCAATACACTAATTTGATGTGTCTATCTCATAAAGGTGTCACTATGGGGCGGGGGCGTGGCGCTCCACAATCTGGTGCTCAAAGCGGACGTGCTCCAGCAGGAAGTGGCATTGCCCTTCACCCTCGTCTCCGGCCGCATCCACGAGCTCCTCATACAAGTACCATGGACCAAGATCATGTCGGAACCGATTGTCGTCACCATCGATACTATAGGTATACAAAACTGAGCATCCTTCCTTTACTTTATATATATACTATTATAAATGGGAAAGTGAGTTTGTTTGTTTGTTCCGACTTCACGCCGTAACTACTAAACCGATTGCATTGAATTTTTGCAGACGTAAAGTTAGTAGTCTGGATTAAATAATAGGGTACTTTTTATCCCGAAAAAATTTGATATTCCCGAGGGAAAACAAAAGTATTGCTATAGATGGCGCTGTATGTATTGGTATATGTCACATAGACTACTTTTTATCCTTTTGTGACGCGAGCGAAGCCGCGGGTAAAAGCTAGTAAGACAATAATTCCCAAATATTGAAATTTCAAACTTAATATTACGCAGGCTAAAGTTCAATATAAAGTTGATGTGTGTTCACTATTATAATTTTGCTTTGATTATTTAACTCCGCGTGTTTCTTGCAGAATGTGTGTTAAGTCTGAATCCGCCTGTCCCGCCCGATGGCACGCCGCCTCCAGCGTCACCGAGGTAAAGTATATGCACTCTGCACTTAATTCATTCTTTCGTGTATTTCATAATCAATGTAACGCTTACAATGTGAACAATAGAAAGAATTTAAGAGACCTCATATTATATTGATTATTTCACAGTTCAACAAATAATAACCTCTTTCTCTTAATTTATAATAATAGTTTGTAAACAATTAACACTACAGTTATATTGATAGTTGTTTAACAATTAAGTACTGGCAGCGTTTTAACACTGTCTGTGTACATCCTATTATTATTATAAATACGAAAGTTTATATGTTTGTTTTTCACTCCTCCTCGTCAAAACGGCTGAAGGGACCGTGATGAAATTTGGAAGATAGATATAAAGACCATAGTCTAGAATAACACCATTGCTACTCCTTTAGCCGCAAGACTCAGGTAGTGGAGGCTCCGCCGGGCTACATGCAGGCTTTGGTCCGGCGCATCGTGAGCAACATAGCGCTACGCGTGCACCACCTCATCGTCAAGTACGTGCAGGACGACATAGTACTGTCTCTCAACGTCAAACATCTCGGCGTCGACAGTGCTGGACCCAATTGGGAACCCGCTTTTGCAGGTATGAATCAAATCCATGTTGTATGTAATCTGAAACTATTTCAGATGATAGTGTCTTTCTGCGATAGATTTGGATATCAAGGTTATTGAATCTGGAACTAAGCTTTTTATTTTCTCCAGATATTGACCAGGCGCAACCAGTGATAAGAAGGCTAGTGCATCTAGACGACCTCACCCTGTGTCTGGACAAATCTGACGGAGATGGCAAGATACGGTTTTTTCAAGAACCCTTATTGTATAGATGTCAGCTAGACCTCAGGTATGTAACGTTAATAAAACTAAGTATAAAAAACAATCAGCCGAACATAGTACCTCCACCTTTTTTGAAGTCTGTAAAAACTACGTTTAATAAACCGACTTCAAGATCCACAAACTACAAATAAAAAATTGTACTCAGTACTTACCCACAACCCACCGAAAGTTACTTGATTCTAAAAATCAAAAGATGCGGTTCGAACATTTAAAAATGACTAAATTTATTATTTAAACTAATAAATAATACTATAATGTCACTTCCAGAGTTCTAACCCGCCTAATATCGGCGAATACACGTCGCGCCACCAGTTTGAACGTGCAGTTGCGGTCCAGTAAGCTAGCGTGGAGCGTCACTAACGAACAGTTGGCGTTGTTGCTCCGACTCATCAAGGAGCGGCCGATCACCACCGTCACGCCGCCCCCGCCCAAGGCATCTGTCGCACAAACGCCGCTCCGTAAGTTGTATCTTATTTTGTTACTAACTGTGCCCGCGACTTCGTCCGCGTGGAATAGTGACTTCATAGTTCCCTCCTTTCCCGTAGGTGATAGCGTGATAATATGTAGGCAATATCTTGACCCGACCTATTAGTAACAATCATGCAAAATTTTAAGTAAATTCATGCAGTACTCTTTGAGTTTAGCCTTGACATACGTATACACAAAAATTCTAAAAACAATACTTTTGGCTTCGATGGGGTTATTGTGTCGTTGAATCCGCTGGTCGTCACACTAGTACCAGGCCGTGCGGTGATGATAGAATATACATACTAAGGAAATGTTTTACTTTTTCCGCGTTAGTCGTTAAGGCCGATTAAGTGACTAAACATTTGACAGAGGTTCGTACATATAGTGCACTTGCTTGCTTACCAAGCGTGGGGATATTATAGCAAACTCTCGTAAAGGTAGCCTATAATCCAAGAGTGGACCGATGATGATGATGAACGCACCATTAGTTCTTGTGTTCTCAATGTAATTGTATTGTGAGTGCAACCATTGATACATATAGCTTTTCTCTGGTACTAGATTCGACATCGTCGAACTCGGCGGAGCCAACTCGGCAGGAGAGCTGGTCGGAGTGGGCGTGGTCGTGGCTGCCTACGTGGGTAGACCGCGACACGGGCTTGGAGGAAGCACCCCTGCCACCCACCTCGCTGCCCATATACTTCAGCGCTTATCTAGATGATGTCTCCTTGGTGTTCAAGGTAATATCCATATTAAAAATAGAGAGAATTGGTCTAATTCAGATTTTTCATCTAATTACAATCTTGGGATCTTGTAATAAAGCCTTTGTATGTACCCGCTGTCATTTATTTATTACCAACTTCGATCAACAATAACAACTAGATATCGGGTTGGCGCAAGAAAATCGTCTCGACAAATAAGAGCTCACTTGAGAAGTGAGCTCTTATTTTGTTTAGTATGCTCCAAACACGGCCAACGTACTCACGTCTCACGATGCCGCAGTGCGTAATTGCAATTTGCAAAAATAATAACCGAAAAAGCAGTATTACGGCCGGAGTGTCTTACTTACGATAAGTCCATAAAGTATACGTTATATTTTAAGCTTTTAAACTAGTAAATAATATCAAATTAGACAAAATTACCAATTATAAAACAACACCACCAATGTTTGTGCGTATGTTGGCCAAGCATCGCCAACACGCGCACAAACATTTGTTTAAACAGAACAGTGGATGCATGGAGTCGATTTGTATTGTAAAATAAAATTGTATTGTAACCTGATTGGAATACAGTACCTAACCTATGGAGTTTCTTGCTCGTTCTGTTCCATAGGAATCTACACCTAGGAATGAGCAAATAGTTCACTTTTAAATTTATATTATTGACGTTCAAAAGTGCCTTCCTGGTCTAACTGAAATAAATGATTTTGACTTAGACTTAAACTTTTAATAATAAAGTAAATAAACATATCATACACAAAAACGTACCGCTAATAAAAATAAGTGATGTATACTAAGATCCCGAAATATTAATTTTCATAATTTATAAAATTATTTTAGTGTTCAACGCTACTCCATACATACCTCCTGTAGCGAAATTCGAAATTCGAAAAACCAAAACGAAACAAAACAAAACGATATAACATCGCAAGGTAATAACGGAAAAATTATCTTTATTTGTTCTAGCTTAAGGTTGTATTCAAACTAGATATTAAATAACTTATGTATTTTAATTTTTACATGACAGGAGTAAGAAAATGCTTTTCTCGTCTTATATGACGAATGGTCGTAAGTATTAGATAATATTTTGACGATTTATGACTTCACTATTAGGAGCCATGGTTGTTATTAGGTTGAACTTAAAACTATTTTAAAACATTTTTCTCTGTTTGTTATCGTTTTACTATTATTATTCACACGGACAGAACTGGAGCTTGATTTTGTACGTAACCCTTTATCTAGTTGCTATTGTTGATCGAAGATTACCAAGGTATTCTATTTTAGTCTTGTCACTTACAAATGGAAGTTTACTTTCAAGATAAGACCAAGAGGCTCATCAACGATAATGCGCTTGTGGAGGCCCGGCTTCAAAGCCTCGGACACAGGCGTAAGATTGCAAGCCTTTCAATCTTCTACCGGATACATTTTAGACAGTGTGCGGGAGAATTGCACAACTGGATTCCCCCTAGTCCTTTCCACCATCGTACCACAAGACAATCGGCGAAGCGTCACCGATTCATGGTAGATGTCCACCCGCACGCACGAAGCGGTTCGCATCAAGCTTCCTTGTGCGTACTGCTAAGGAGTGGAATTCTTTGCCAGAGTCTGTATTTCCTGAAGGGTATAACCTGAGTGTCTTCAAGGCTCGAGTGAATGGGTTGCTTATGGGACGACGTGCTCCATCGTAGGCCACATCATAGCTTACCACCAGGCGAGATAGTGGTCAAACTTCAGTCCCATATAATATAAAAAAAAACTTATTAGTTAAGCGGTTTGACGAGTCACAGTGGCTGAGTTGTGCTTGAGTTACCACAATATGACCTGCAAGTGAAATAATAGAGAAAATTGCATTAATAAAGAAGATAGAAGGTGTCGTTAGAAGATTAATAGATATAATTGCCATTGATAGGTGATGGAGACGGAAACGGGCAGTCGCAAGCGTTCGCGCGCAGTACTAGAGGTATCGGCATCATTTGCTGCGCTAAAAACTTCTATCTGCCATCCTACCCACTTGAGGATACGCTGCGGTGCAAGAGAGCTCATGATGCAGTCCCACGGTAGATGTGTCTGCGGACACGTTAATTTTAACACTGTAAGTATTATTATATATGTAATAACTTATGGTATAACCATCAACCACAACAATACATATACAAGTGAGATTACCCAAGCTCACTCCCTTCCGTCCCCCTCAAAAAGCCAGCAAACGTGATGAAAGGCGATTGCCTACTATCAAAATTCAAATTCAAAATATTATGTGATTAGTTTATTTGCAACGAATATGGGGACAGCGATGTCATGTAGTTTTATCCGGTGTATAGTTCTCTATCACATAAAAAGTACATAATAAATTCTAAAGAGGGGATTATATTAGCAAGCCCCGGTCCCCTTTATAGGGGGGATGGCTTTATACAGCAATGAACGTCTTTTGATGATTTGTAATCTTTTCTCAGTTGAATTCAGAACCGACAGTTTACTTAAAGAAGATAAAGACGGCGTCACAGATGGAGACGGTGTGGACGTGGCCGGAAGGGGTGCTCAATGACAAGGTGAAGGTCGCTGAGGTCATTGACGAAAACCCCCCGGCCACTACTGCTGGGGTGAGTGAGAGATTTGGTATATTATAATATCATATACAATATATACAGGTGGTAACTCCCATCTACTACAAGCCTAACATCTTTGTTTTAATTTCGTGCGTCCATATCATACAAAATCGTAACTTAATAAGTAAACAAAAGTTTTATAAATCAAATAAAACCTCCTTAGGAACCTGAAGGCAGCACTGTATCCCCTACACCAAGTGTACAAGACATGAAACCGACTTCGGTTGAGCCGAGCCTGGACAAACAAGACAGGGATGATATCGACGAGCTCTGGAACAAGATGGCGCCACTCCTGTTTGTGGAGTATGTGCATGAACGGTCACCGCCTCACCAACTGATGAACCCATATGATAACCCGCCTAGAGATTTTGAGTACAGGTAAGTAAGCTTAACTTTTACAAAAACCTGGCTCGTAGTCCCGTACGTATCTCTGAGAAAACGCGTACGTCTACGTTACGCAACCGTTGTAGCCTGTCTCATACAGTTCCATACATTACAACTCTGAATTCAGTGGTACATTCGCGTTTACGCGCATATATACAAATTAATTAAGGTATTGAGTGATCCACAAAACCAACCACCACACAGCCTGATAGTATTTAGATGCCTAATTGGTAATTTGTTTCACAATTCAATTTGGTCACTTACTTAGTAATTATTAATCCACAGTGATTGGGGCGAAGAATGCAGCATGACGGTAGCGGTGGAACCATTAGAGCTAAGAATCTGCATGGGGCTCATACACCGACTACAAGCGCTGAAGAACATATACAAGGAACACGCGGCTTCTGAGCCAGGTAACTTCTTTATAGCCGACTTCAAAGAAAGGAGGTTATCAGTTTATTATGGTAAGCAATTGGCATCGTGGACAATCCCGACACCAAAAGCCTCGGATGAGTTACAAGTGGAGAGAAGCTTGGAGGAGATCTTGGAGTGAAGGGCTCCTCCAAGCTTTTTGCGCCTCTGGTATCACCGAACACAAGGCTTTGGTTTTTCGTGCCAACTCCTGTGATACTGTTACGAACCAATAGAACAGTCAATTTACTATTCAATAATTTACAATTAAAGTCTCTCGCTTGGTAGACCGGCGACATTTTCGTCACAGGCAGTCATAATATGATGGCTAGCTCTCGTTCGTGGATGACTAAGGGGGAGACCTTACTACTACTACTACCTACTCGGTACTGAACATCATCCCTTTAATATAAGTATATTGAAGAGTGTTCTCTTTTTCTTTGTGTAGAGTTGCCAAAGCGAGTGCTGACAGTAGAAGAGAAGGAAGCTCTGACGGAGAACTTGCCTCAGCGTCGCATCAAGTTGGAGGTGATGGGCGCAATGGTGCGTCTGATACCGTGGAACCACATTGTAGGAGACCGCCAGCCCACTCCTGAACCCGTCGTATTGGAGATCGAGTTACCCTATGCTAGTGCCATCATCATGGCTCCCTTGTATCCACATAGGTAGGTATCATTCCCGTGAAGAACAAATTTCGCTCCTATTGCAATTGTAACAAGTTTGGGAACGACATAATCGTTTCCAAATCGAAACCCATTAGGGAAAAACTATACATTGTCTTGTCCAAAAGTCTCAAAGTAAAATGATTCAGACGGCCTAGTGCGAGTTAGTTTTACGTTAACGCGTCTAGCCATCTGATTGGTTGTTCATTGGAGCTGGCCAATCAACGGGCTAAACACGGTAACGTTTCGACTTCGTTACACAAACTCGTAATAGGCGCTCGGTATTTACTTCTTCTTGATTTTATCTTATTACTTTTAAGTTATAACTCCGTTGTGTATTTCAGGGTATGTTCTGCAGCCAGTCAGATGCCCAAAGACTCAGGTTCTCTATGGCAAGGAGCGAGACGGCACACTACCGTTACGCTCAACTCCGTACAGATCAGATTGACCAATGCCGACGGCACTGAGAATCGGCCTTGCGCACGCGCAGACATCAAGCTAGTCACACATCAACTACTCTACAAATCCTTCTTCCAGAATAGAGACTCCATTGAGTTCGCTTATCATCTGAAAATTAGTAAGTTTGTGTTTTATACCCATGTTCTATTTTTATAAAGCCTGCTTGAAACATGTAGTCCAATTCATTGTTTCCAACTATTTTGTAATTTTGTACGCTAAGCTAACAAGCATAGCGTTTAAAAATGTTATTTAAGACCCTAATGTCACCTATGTTTGCAATTAATAAATGATTTTGAATATTAATTCTTACATCGATCTTTGAAACGGTCGTTGTGGGTCAATCAAAATTTATTCATCTCCTATCAAAGTATATTTTTTTAAATCGTGTTTTAATGCCATAATTTTCTGTAACAACTAACAACCTTCACCTTATTGTATGTAAAAAATAATGAAATTAAAATACTTTTAAATTTGCAGAGGAAATGAGTATATGCGGATCGTTCGCGCGGCTGCAGGCAGCATACCATGTTCCTACGTCACTGACGATTGAGAAGCGGTCCATCGCATTAAAGCATACCACACTACCCAGAGACGCACTCCACGACCAAGGTCAGTTCATGTTCATAGAATAAGTTGTCTCTGTTATTAATAAATGAAGAAAAAAGGCTTTAGATTATGTAGTCTACAAACAATATCTTTCAAAACTTTCGATCAGGTCAGCATAGTTCCAAAGCAAATTGCCTATCACTTATAGCGGTATTCGACGAACTCAGTCTCTCAGATACCCAGGTCCCAGGTATAAATAAATATGTGTCTCATTTACAAAGGGTTCCATTAATAGAAGTGAGAATGCTGGTTATTTCAGATATAAAAATCTCAGTTACAGAGGTTAACTATGATGATAAATCAAAAGACTAGTACCAGATAATGGGGATGGGTTAATCTCACTAACGGAGGTAATTCCATGCCAATTTGTTGGGACCTCAGTATGAGTTCCAGTTGTGAAGGTTTCTCACTTATTTAGGTCCGACTAACCAAGTTTCACTATACTTGTCTAATAAACTTTATGACTTGTCCAGATCGAGACATTGCGTTGGACATGAAATTTTGAAACTAAACAGACGAAAACGTTCCTTACCTACATACACCTACATACATCACACCTACAGATTAATCTCTTAACTACGTCTAAAAAATATTAGTTTTTATATGAATAGGCATAGCTGATAAGGTTGATAATGCATTGTTAACAGACGCAGTGGCTATCGACCTGGCCCTGGAGGACGGCACGATACGGGGCTACATGACGGACAACGTCAACATGCACGTCGTCACGCTACACTCCGCCAAAGCTACAGCCCTACATGAACCCAGTAAGTTTGTACAACACTCAATGTAGAATAGACCTGTCACGGAGACAGCGTTATCCAAAGTTTTGGTCAACTAACAGCAAACCCTTAGTACTTTATTTATGGAGTAGACCTTCTGTATACAGTCACCTGTCATTCCTAAAACGTTCGAGATTGTGGATTATGAATTATGAAAACCGCCTTACTACCGTAAGATGAAATTGAATGTTCAACAGAGGTTGTTCTTCTTTAATATCCACCGTATTATCTTGGAAGATAACAAAATATAGTTTTCTGTTGCCATCAGTGTTAATCAATTATTGTTATTACAGAGGCTGGTGTTATGAAACAAGCGTGGCTCTTCTCCGCTCCCGATGCGCCTACCACAACGTAAGTAATCTAGCACACGTATTTATAATTATAAGTAGTTTTTACCTTTTGGCTTGTTTTTGGATGTTGGTTTTTGAAGTCGGTTTTTAAACGCTATTTTTATTTTATTATTTTCTTTTTTTTACTAGAAGGCTATATAAACCCAGTTTCTACATATATCTCACATGGGTGCAAAGTTCTCATCGATACAAATTAATCAAACCCAAACACGAGGTAGCGACTGTTAACCGTTGAGGAGTTCCCTTAACTATCATACTGCTTCAGTTCATCACACTCCAGTTGGGTGTAAAGTTTTCATAAATACAAATAATTGAAGCCCAAACACGAGGTCTTTGCTGCAAATACTCAAAGAGTTCCCTCAACTGTCTCTCGATGCTACCACCAGACTCCATGCCTTAGTCAAATTTTAGCAGTTTTAAATACTGTTTAAAAAATATTAACAAACGCTCTAGCTACCCTTACAATTTTGAAAAGTCACCTTGATAATACTCATCATCATCGACATCATCAAATCATCGAACCTTCTCATTTTGTTGGAAGTCTTGTTTGTGATCACTTCTTTAAGCATATTGGAAATCACTGAACAAAACGAAAACAGGTCATTGTATTCTCAGAGCAAAAAGCTAGGAAATTACCTTTTCCATGACGCTGTTTCATTTGATCCATACTTCCTGGGCACCCTAGATATGACGGCGGAGGAACGAAAATGAACGAATGATTGAATAGTAAACAATATTTGAAATATTTGTTGAATAGGCATATTGGTAGTCTGCAATGTGTCTTCAGCTATTGACAGGATCTTGTTACTTCTATTGCTACTTTTGATACTAAGTTTTGGTTTGCCATCGTTGGGTATGTTAAACGTTTGTTTATTAGTTCGTTTCCCTTTGTGCGAAAACAATGTCGTGTCCTGTCCTGTGTTGGTATTTTGGAGCGCTGAAGGGGTACATGCTGGTTATGTCGATTTACGTTTATTCGTGTTGTGAGAGGGACGATAGTAAACAAAATATTAAATGTTTGTTACGTTTAACTCGTCGAGTACCGTCTTTGTAGACACAATTATAGAACAATAGGTTGCGGTCACCGGTGACCGCTTGGTGTTTGACAGTTTTTAGCATGAGTTTTGTTTAATGTTTGGTCAATTCGGATGTGACTTGAAAAGAATTTAATACCTACCCACACTAGAAATAGTAAAAAAATATTACTCGCCAGACTATAATTAAAGTTGCACACTTCTTGATATTTTTGTCAATTGTTTAGAGCTCTGATTATTATTGTAACTTTGTAAAATAAACCACGTAAATCCTATTTTGAATTTAACTGTGGTTCTGGACGAAGAATCCTTATTGCATGACCAGTTCCACAAAGAATATGGCGTCTCCATTAATGAGACGTAAGTGACGTCACCATTTTAAGTAGTATCCACGACGTTCTAGGACATATATTTAAAAGAATAGCTTGTTTAAGTGTATTAGAGAATAATAATAATTGCAAAAAATATTTAAAACATATTAAAATATAGAAACAGTACACCAGCTTAACTAATAAATGGAAGTAGAAAGTGATATACTTGAGCTTTAGAAGTATTAAATATTGATAAAATTAACTGTCTTACTCTCAGTACTACTACACAACAGGTTAGAAAAATCTAATTAGTCCGTACGTTAGATAATAAGTAAATATTAGACACGTATTTTTTTATTTGCCCGTGTAAAGTTACAATACTTAGAATAAATGTCGTTAAGTTTAGGAATGGGAGGTCGTTACGTCACCAGTGCTACAAAAATGTAGTAAGGAAAAATACGTACCTAACTAATGTTTTAAACTAATGTACCTGACTAACATTAAAATAAAATTTAGGAAACAACCCTATTGTCTACTCGATATGCAATTATAGGATTTGTTTAATATTGTTAAAATGTTAATAATAATGTATCCAAATTATAGTTTTTAGTTTTTTATATTGCCCATTATCTACTTGTTACAGCTGTTAATACGGTAGTTGACAAGTAGTCAAATTCAATACTTTTATTGAAATGTGAAAAACGATACTTTTCTGTATATTTTGTATTGGATTGCAACTTATGACGTCATTATACTTCTGCGTCAAATAGCATACTTATTTTCTTAAAGTTAGCGAGAAAAAACCCAAAAATAAGTTATTATTTTTTAATTATTTATTGCATTGAAAAGTTGAAACAAACTATTTTAAACCTAGGAAACTAGACAATTAAATAAACAAAGCAGTAGTGAAACTAAATAAAATTAATATCATCTTGCCAAGATGTGACAATTGAGCTACATTTCATTTTTGTTGATGGGTGGGGACGATTCCGCCCATTGTCCTTTGTGAACAATATATTTATCTTCTATAAGATCTTTGACCAAATAACTATTTTCATATCTTAGCTCTACCAATGGCTTTAGGCCTTCGTAATCCCAGATAAAAAAGATCCTTTTCCCACAAATATGTCTGTGTCGCGGTTTAAGCTCAAGCCGAATAATTTGACATTAAAATTAGCGGGAAAGCTTTGGCAATCTTGTAATAATCTCCCTTGTAGCTAACGGGATAACGGGACGGTTAGTGTCACTATGAACGTACATAATTATAAAATCGCTGCTCGGTTCCATCAACCACCTATCTATAGATATAATGCAATACATGGTTTATTCTCAAATATTCCATTCAGCGGTGACATATTCAGCTTCATTATACATATTCACATTCATCATAAGGTCTCTTATGTATTGTTGATATGAGCAAGGTCGTATAAGTAGATAATACCATCGTTGCCTATGCACCTGTAATAAGAAAAAATATAAAGATTAGTATGTAATATGACATTTATGACTATCGATTAACTTTAAGTTCGCTAATAAAGCAATGACTATTTACAACCTTCAACTTTAAAAACTACATTCTTGATATGTAATATTTGATTAAGAAAAGCAATAGTGGTATGTCCTGTCTCAGTGTATTCGATACTTACGCCAAAAATGCTTCAAATTCAGTGCGAATAAAATGTTCTGGTGGCAACTAGTCAATCAAGTCAAGGGAGGAACCACTGGTAAGTGGTATCCTGTTTAGTAATATTACTGTTGCGTTCACCCTCATGTGCGATATCTTGCGACTTGTTGGCACGTTTATCTGATAGAACCTGGATACAAACACAAAATAATTTCATCAAAATACTATAAAGTTGATATTATTATGATCTATGGATTAATTGCATACATATTTATTTCTATTATTAGTAGTATATTCAGTGATTTAACTATCTATGAATTTCTTGGATCATCTTACGCTTTTATGGTACCAAATGACAACTATTATATAAACATGGGCGTAATCAATCTACCTTATAATGTTACACACAAATAAATCTACTTAAAAAAAACCGACTTCAAAATCGATAAACTAAAAACCAAAAAATAACTGTTATTCATTGTACTACCTACCCACTGGTAGTTTAGAAGTCGGTGCCCCAAGTCCTAAACAAACCCAATTTAATTGAACAACTCTTTTTTGGGAAGTCGGTTAATAAAAAGTAAAAAATAACACATATCGGTCGAATTTAGAACGCCCTCTTTTTAAAAATTTAGTTGAATGTTATTAAAAATAGTGACGCAATTAATAAAATATGTAGGTAAAAAGAACCACGCAAATCGGTCCAAAAACTCCAGCGTAACGGGTGTACACAACTAAATTGAATAAAAAAGCAATTAGTAACGTACCGGAATGAATACTGAATTGAGAACCTCCTCTTCTAAATTCTCTGGCAGAATATTGTGTAGAAGGTTGATCGGCAGTAATGAAGACACGGTTATTAGATACGTTTTAATTTCTATCTTTATCTTCGTACGGTTGCAATCAGAATGAAGCTTGATATCCTAAAAGGGGCGGTATTTATACAAAACATCTTGACCTAATTTTGTACTAAGTTCACAATTATCAATACATAGTATAAAATAAAGTCGCTTTCGCTGTATGTCCGTATGTATGCTTAGATCTTTAAAACTACGCAACGGATTTTGATGCGGTTTTTTTTAATAGATAGAGTGATTCTGAAGGAAGGTTTGTATGTATATACATATTGCACCCGTGCGAAGCCGGGGCGGGTCGCTAGTAATAGATAATGTTAAACAGTGTTTATCTTAATTATTCTAATTATTATTTATGCATAATTATTGTTTTATAATACAGGAATAAGAGATAAAATGAAATGTTTTCAGTGTAAAAATTATTACTCATTACTTATTAATTACTCTCATATAAAATTATTAATTCAGTTGTGAAACAATCAATGTAATGATACCTAATCAATACATAGTATAAAACAAAGTCGCTTTCGCTGTATGTCCGTATGTATACTTAGATCTTTAAAACTACGTAACGGATTTTGATGCGGTTTTTTTTAAATAGATAGAGTGAATCTTAAGGAAGGTTTGTATGTATAATACATGCATATTGCACCCGTGCGAAGCCGGGGCGGGTCGCTAGTAATCATTAACATAACATAACATTACATGACGCCTTGTATCCCCGTAGGGTATTCAGATGTGCACATTACGGCACTTAATGCCACTGTACAATGTAACATCCACTTTTCACTATTTATGTTATGAGTACCATGTAATAGGGGGTGAGCCTATTGCCATATACCGTGCACAATTCCAGACTCTGTGCTACTTTAGGGAACAGAGAGGATAGTTTTTTAAGATTAGAAAAGTAGGATCCTCCTACCAGGCGAGGTGATCGTGCCTGGCGGGCTTTCTGCCCAACATTAATCATTGTGTCTGAAACACGTACGTGTGAGGCCGGGAGTGTTGCATGATAACAATTGTTAAAACTTGTGACACTATCTAAATTATAGGCACAGAAAAATGCTTACATATACGGCATAAGTTTATGCATATCGATACATTTAAGTAGAAAGGTCGTATAAACCAAAACTCGACTTTTTAAAAGAGCAGAAAAACGTTTTTTTTTTTTGCAAAAAATCTGATATTTTTTGATGTTATATAAAAATGATGTATGAGAAAAGTTCTTATAATTATTGGCGAACGAAAAAGGTTAAATCATCAAAATCTATCCATCTTCTTTACTGTTTAAAGTTAGCTTGAATTTGCACCCAGGAAAACACCAATTCTTAGTGAATAGGTGTTTTCCTGGTAATGTAGGTACCTACACCCCATGAATAGTGCAGTAAAAACTGTATAGGTCGCAAATCCAGTTTTGTAAGCCTGTGGTCACATTTACTGTCGTTAAAGCTCCAATGTATAGTTTTTTCTATTAAAGACCATTTATAATCATATATCATTATAGGAATTGCGTTTTGACTAATATAATCGTCCTGTTAGTCTCAGAATTAGTAGGAACTCAAATATTATTATTCTAGCACCCAATAATCAACCCACCCGATTTGCCACCACCGATCTACCTATTTATTAGGCACCTACTACCTTTCTGCCCGCGGACTCACACACATTTTTTTAGAGAGTTTTGGGCAGATTTACTAAAAATGCATTCTACCTTGAAAAATGCGTATTGTTATACACGGACGTACTGCCTCGTTGGCCGAGTGGTCGCAAGTGCGACTGCCGGGCAAAGGGTCTCGGGTTCGATTCCCGGGTGGGCAAAGTACTACTGGGTTTTCAAAAAATTCTCAGTAGTAGCACGGAATCTGGAATTATGCCCGGTATGTGGCAATAGGCTCACCCCCTATTACATGGGACTCATAAATAGTGAAAAATGGGTGTTACATTGTACAGTGGCATAATGTGCACCACTGCCTACCCCTTTTGGGATAAATGGCGTGATGTTATGTTATGTTTATGTTTTTTAAACTTCCACCCTTCGTTTATGGGTATTGAGGGTTAAAAATAGATGTAGTCTATGTCACTGCCCAGCCCTTCAACTATCTTTACTTAACTAGTCCGGTTTCCTTCTATCTGGCAGAATCTTAATAGTCCGAACTTTATTTGGCAAATCACACTTGGCTATCTTACTTACTTGGAATATTCTTTCATCTAATATTTTTAAGGCATTCAAATTATGTAGGATAACTTGATTGGCAGAACGTATACATGTTCGAATTTGCAACGGCATAGTTTTAACACGGCGAAATTTTATTTGGCAAAATTACGATTGTCATATTTAATATTACACATACACAGTTTCGTTATGATTATTTAGACTTAGAGGAATGGTGATATCTGAAGAGCCGGTATTTTTTGCTTGTATTTCATTTTACGGAAATCTTACCTATTGCCGATATCCTTTTTGCTATAACATAACTCAATTGGCTAAACTGGTTTATACGACCTTTCTACCCAAAGGTATCGAATTATACTACCTCTATTATAATGTAGGTACTCTTAAATATATTAACACTAGAAAGACGGAAAAAATTATCTACCTACTCCCCGTATCTTTTGGTACTAATTAACGTGATACACATACTATTAATTAAATGGTTTAATTTTTTAACATATTTACAGCTTGTTTACGTTACAAAAACCGCAAAATGTTTTTCAAAGTGTCACATACATTATTGGTTTTGTTTTTGCATTTCCCTATATAACATTCTGAAATTTCCGAATGAGAAATAGAATATTGAGAAATAGAAGTCAGGCCAGAATATTGAGAAATAGAAGTCAGGCAAAGGTTCAGTTACAGCGACAATCAGTAAATTTCTACTGATGTTTTTGACTTTTGCTGTTAAGTTTATACTTGTTATAAATACTTGATTACTTGAAGTTTGCTTGCTGAATTTTAGTATTTAGTAAATCCTACATTTTATGTTGATATCCAACATTATTCTAATTTCTTATTTATTTATTTACGCTTATGTACACAATGGCACATAATGCAAACTTAATGCCATATGGCATTCTCTTTACCAAAGGAAAGAATTTATCTTAGCTAGGTCCAAATACAAGACGCGCACATACCAACGGATTCACCGTCATAACCACTTTGAGTGTATTGCATCTGAAGTGTCCACTAGGTAGGTACAGTGAGAAGACCGTGATTCTAAGGATCTTTCAAAATTCCTTCCATGGTCTCGATCGGCACGGCAACGACTCCATTTGCCAGCTAAGTAACACCTGTAAAAGACTTTAGCTTCAAATACCATTTGCCAGCTAAGTAATATCTGCGAATATGCAACGGTTGTATATGGAGTTCGCATTCCATAACATGAATGGGTATACTTTTATCATTCGAACATTTTGTTTTTTTTAAGGGGGAAACTCATCCAATGACTGCTCCCGCCTGAGTGAGGCGGGAGGGAGTGTCAGACTCTTACTGACTAAAAACTACCCCGTTCCTGCTCCTGCACGTCGAGCCGGAGCCGTTAGGTTCTCCGCGACGTCATTCGAACATTGATTTTGTATTTTTGTGGTATACTATATCGCGCCATTGTGTAGGTACGAATGACGATGTATGAAATTAATTAAATAAATTGCTTAAAATTGGTTTTCCATTGTCTGGTAATTGTGTTATAATAGAATATGAAATCTTATCACTACCAGAGGGGCTGTGTATCTTTACTATTCAAACGTTTAAGCAGTTCTTGGATTGTTAGACCTTAGTGGCGTCGATATGGGCTTTTTTCTATAAATCCTATTTTCCCCAATCAGCCTTTTTGTAGTTTCAACGGGATTTGTTGTAATCACGGGCTTTGAAGTATGTCGTAATTTTAATAATGTAATGATCACTACCTAACGTCTCATTCAGTACATTCCAATTTAAATAAATACAAGTCAGTGCCACTAATTAAATATCAGGAGAATATTATTCATTATTTATTTTATATTTCGGTTGTTCAATGTATTCTCATTTTCTTATTATTAAAGCGAGGATAAGCTTTTATGATTTTTGGGGTTCACAAATGGCTTTTAATGGCAGCAAAAACCTGGTAATATACTACCAAAACTTTCATGGGCTACGGACTGATGACGATATTAATCTTTATTGAAACATAAGTCCACACTTATGTCCCACGAAAGCCATGCATCGGCACGAATGAGCCGGCTCGACCGGAGTATTCTGTTTCGTCGTATGAGTGAGGTTACAAGAGACCCTACTAGTCCCCAGTCCCCTCAATTCCCGAATCTTCCACAAACCACAAACCTCCCAATTCCCAAAAGGCCGGTAATGCGCTTGTAACGTTTCCTCCTCCTCTGGTATTTCAGGTGTCCATGGGCGGCGACGATTTTAAATACCATCTGGCGATCCGTCTGTTCGTTTACCGGCCTATCCCATAAAAAAAACATGGTTAGTTGACGGGATCTCTGACTCGGATTTGTTTGACGATCGGTTTATAGTGTGGCGGCGGGATCGTGATAACAGTATGACTGGTCAGACTCGAGGAGTTAGAACTAGTTCTCCACATTGACAGCGGTTGTTGCAACCTTTATTTCACTTCTCAGTTGAACACACCTCTATTTGGATAGTTCTGAGCTGGCAGCAGTTTGACATTAAAATCGGTTTTAAGTTGAACTTGTGATACTGGCTCTCTTAGTCTTTAATCAGGTGCAGAATTTTCTCCATACCTTGGTTAACTCTATATTGGACAATCCTAGATATAGATGTTTTCCTGCTACTTGTATAAATATATAATAGTGTTTTACTCCCGCTATCACGGAAATATCGGATAATGATTCGGAGGGGGTATTTCATAAATATTTTTATTCTGTTATTGATGAATTGAGAACCAATTATGTTTGTGTAATCGCGTTTTTTAAATTTTTGTCTGTATGTATGTCCGAGCTAAACTCAAAAAGTACTGCATAGATTTACTTCAATTTTTGCATGAATATTTCAAACAGGCCAAGTCGACATATAGGCTACATATTATCACGCTATCACCTACGGGAGAGGAGCTGTGAAGAACTATCCAAAGTCACTATTTCACGCGGACGAAGTCGCGGGAATCTACAAGTAATTAAATAAAAACCCTCACTCATATGTGTGCGTAAATACTAATCCTTGATTGCGGGTGAATTCCGACAAAATCAAAGATAATATAATTATTATTTTTATGCACGGAACGAAACTGTGTTACGTACAATATGATGTTAAGTATGTTTGTTTGTCCAGGCCCTGCCTTCGTTTCGCGGTCCAATGGTGCACCACCCCGGTGGAAAACTCGTTCGATTACCTGGGCGTGTGGACGGAACCTGTGGCCTTCTCCGTGGACCCGCTGCTCATAGCGTGGCTCGCCTACAAACCCACTGTCAAGTCTGGTAAGTATATATTCAACTCAATTGTTTTGTTTATCTGTTGGCTTATGAAATGATGATGAAAAATAGTATATGGGCTCTGCTCTCTCTGGATGGTTATAATATTGATTTGGTATAACGTCTGTTATTGATAAATAAATAATTAGGTTTCTTCCTGAGTATGTATAGAATTATTTTCGTGATTGTATTTGTATAGTTTGGTGTGATTTCTTTCTCATGGAACATTCCAGTTGTAGTGTGCGTGAATGTACTGTTGAACAGCCCAGGAGCTAAGGTTGGATTATCATATTTTAACTTGTTAATTTATGTTTTATTTAACTTTTGATGTGAATGTGTGTTTTAAAGCCAATATATTTTTAGGACGTATTTTAAATATATTAATTTGGGACTCTTTAAGATAATTCGGCAGCTTGTTATACAAACTCCTCTGACTGTTGAACAAATATTTTCCTTACTAGTAAACATAACGATATGTCGTACGACTTATTTTATTCTGCATTGTATTGTGTTTTGAAGTGATATTTTTTATTGCGACGTTTTCTTATTTGTTTGCTGGCAACTGTAAATAAATATTAACAAATTTGATGATTGTATAATCTTCCTAGCCTTTTTGTAGCATATATTTTTAACAAAAATAAAATATTGTTTAATATAATATATTTACAGAGGCATCTCTGCCAGCTGCAATGAAGAGCTTGTCACAAACACAACAGACATCATTGCGACGCCGGAGCACACCACCGGTCTGTATAATACTTGTATCCATATTAGTTCGTAAATCAACTCATCATCTTTTTAAAGTACTCTTTTGATCTGGGCCACAAGGCGACTATTGCTGGACCTATGTCCTATGACTGTGTCCTTATTATTCTCCGTATGAGAAGAAGCCTTTGCTCAGCAGTGGGCATTTGATGTGATATTTTATGATGATGATATTTGCGTATTTATTGGGGAGTACCTACATGTTTTAACTGAATTAACATTTCCTTTCAGTCATCGAGTGGTCGCGGCGGCAGTAGAGCGGGGTCCGCACAAGGCGCGGAACTGATTCATTTCCGCTCGCGCAGTTTAGGGTCCAGTAGTGAGCCGAGTGAGAAGAAAGACAAAGTTACTGTGCATAAAATTATACCGCAGGTTTGTTGGTTTAGAGGTTTGTTTTTGTTTTGTGGGTTATTGGAGAGAGAGAAAGAGAACGAGAGGGTTAGACGAAGCTGGGAGAAGGGCACACAGTGGGAGAGAGGAGGGATAGGCATTTGAGGCTTAAAGGGTGAGAGGGGATCAGAGATCAAAGATCTTGGAAAAGAAAGAAACAAGAAGTAAGAGATGGGGGAAAGTAAGAGAAAAAGAAGGGCGATCTATAAAGAGCGACAGAAGACAGAATTAAGTATCAGGAAACCCATTAAAAGGTGGAGTGTGTAATATTTACAGGTCACAAGTCAGCAACAAGCAGCGATTGCGGCAGGTGAGAGGGTGACTGAGCTGTACCGGCGGCTGCAGGGGATGGTCCTTAACGTGGAGCTGGGGTTGGCCCTAGTGTATGTTACCATGAGTACGGCCTCCGCGGTAGACTGTCACACCCTCAGAGACGCCATGGAACGACACGCCTCAGCCGCACACAGAGTATTGGCTATATGGTGAGCTTTTCAATTATTAACTTTTAAAAATTGTGAAAAGATTTTTGATTACTGAAAATTAATACTTTTACCTTACTGGTGAAAAGAGAATGTTACGTAGTTTCATATGTCTAATTAGACATAGACATGTATGCCTATCTTCACGTGAATAAAACAGGTGATCCTATGTCTATGGTTCTAGTCTCGGCCGACTGTCGATGCAGTCCAGCACTCTCAGCAATCGCCTGTGGCAAAGTCTACGACATGACGGACCTACCTTCCTAGCAGAAAGTGAGTATAGTATACAGCATTAATTTTTAGTTTATGCGAAACACGGGTCTAATTATGAAACGCATAAAATACAGAATGTTGAAACTCCAACTTAAATAATTAATGAGTAAAGTTGGTGTGATACCTGGTGACTTGTTCAGAAACATACCATATATTATGCTAAGTAACTACTATTAAAGCGCCCGCGCCTATGTATGTGCCTACACTGTTTTTTCATCTTGAATGACGCACAGGGTGAACTTGATACAACATCCTCATCATCAAGCAGAAGATGTTCACTGCTGAACAAGGACCTTCGTCCTCGAATGATGAACAACTCGCCATACACACTGTAAGAATAAAGGGCATTAGCCCGCGTATAAACCAGAATTTGTCCTGATTTCAGAGCCCAAAGACGACTCGTTTCCATGGAAGATAAGTCTTGCGGACGTCTCCTGCTACACATTAGAATTGCCTCACTTATCAACGACAACTGATATTGTGGGGCAGGAGAAGGTGGGGATCTCAGCAGGTCTGAAGTCCAAACTGAAGATGTCCGGAGCCCCCAAAGCTACTCGGAAGACGGTGCTAGAGCTGGTTACCACCACCATCACAGTGTCCGTCGTTACTAAGGCACTGCAGTACAAGACAATCTCCAGGAAGGATCTGAAGAAGAGTAACATTATTACTGAAGAAGATCGGGTCAGTTTTGAAACTTTTTTTCTCTTGTAATTTTTATCGACCATGTAAAAATCACCCTGTTACAAGGTTGCTATTATATAGTCGTGTCTTATGTGCATGCATGGTGGAAGTTGTTTATAATGACATCGTTGGATGCAGTAAATTAATCTGAAATTTCGTTATTAAATTTAATGATAATTCAATAATTTATATTGGTTACAGAAAACGCAGTACTTTACAGCTGGAATGGAGTTCAAGCCGACAACTTTAAAGGAATTTGTTCGCGGTCCATCCAGCAGGTAAGGAAAAGGAACATGCAGAAAGTGTATTAATCTACATTTAACTTTTTAATGCTCTCATTTACTGTTTTTATTTTATTTTTCAGAATAAGGAAATCTGTAGACGTAAGTATTGTCGCCATACGTCATACAAACTACTCAATCGAGATACAAGGTTAAGAATGCCTCCATTGATATAAGAAGCCTTAATGATCTTAATGAACGTCATGGTTTCTAAAACCATTGCCCGTTTGTAATATTATATGTTCCGCTTTTTTCCCTTGTGATAACTAATTTGCTTCCGAAATTTGTAGCGCCATTTCAGTAAAAACTAAATTATTTCAACTTTTCAATGCAATTAAATATTCAAAATTAATTCACTAATTTGACCATTGCTTAAATTACTAAGCAATTATTGAAGAAATATATGTCACAGGTCGGTATCTCATACAGAATCCAGAGAAAAGTATCGTTATTTTACATTTAGTAAAGATACCGAATAAGACGTTAATATTAATTGGCGTTCCATAATCTCTGCCTACCTGCGTGGGAGACAGGTGTGAGATTATGCATGTATGTATTGAATAAGACTAGTTATCAAATACCATATTCTACATAGAGCTATGATATAATCTGCTCAACGTTGTATTCAGCCGTCGGCGTCGGCCACGTCTCAAGCAGAGGTACCTTCCGAGGTGATCACCATCAAGGACGGACCGCTAATCTCCTTGGGAGTGCACCTCCACGCTGACACTCCACCCATCATCATCCGGCTGGAACAGGATCAGGTAATGTTTCTTTTAATTTGGTCATAAACCTATAGGATTATTAGTTGCAAACTGTTAAACTTATTGGTTGACAATGTAGCAACTATACTCGGAATTTTAATTCAATTCCAGATTTGACAATTTCAGTGTTGCAACGTTATGACAAGTACTAAATAGTGACGTTGCGAAATTATTCGATAAGGAAATGGAATATTTCTGGATCGATTCTTCTCGTTTATAATTTTACTCTCGTAAACTAAGTATATCAGGAAATTAAATATTTCTGAACCGATAATTTGGTTTTGACGATTAATTAACGATCTGAGACTTTTCTTTTATAATTGTGTGTGAAGTAAATAAAAAAGGTAATCATGAAGGAACATGACAAATAAAACAGATAGATGTATTATAATAATAAATTATTTTATAAATTGTCGCCGTCGTCGCTATCGCTATCCTGTCACTTTCTGTAACATTTATTATAAAACACACACACTGATTGTTTATCGATTTTTGTGTTCATCACTACACTATTATATGTGGTATCATTATTTCACAAAATGACAGTAGCTAGTGTCAAATCTGGAATCTAATTAAAATTCTGACTATAGTAGTCCACAAGGTTTGTCAAATCTAAATTCATTTTAGACGTGAGTTATGATTACCTTAACGATATCTTTTCACCACTTGCAATAACCAAGTAGCTGTTTTATTTTGAGCCGAGTATAGACTAATAAAGTGGAGAGTCATTGTTAGTTTTCATCATACTACCGCGCGGTTACACCCGCAACTCAGGTCCTATTCATACATATTAGCGTAATGTTAGCCTTATTCACAAAAAAGTTTCTTTTTTCGTTCAAACCAATAGTTCCGGTGATTAGCGAACCCAAAGCTGTAGAATAATTGCAGTCGTATTTCTTATAGTATGAATGAATAAGTCCTAAGTACACTCAAGTTGTTGTTAGCAAAATAATTAATAGTAAAATGTTCTAAAATTAATCACTACGAAATCCCTATATCAAAAACAAATATGACGTTGAATGCGATCTTCATATTCAATAGTTTTGACTAAACGCAGTATGAAAATAAATCTGATGATAACTTGCATCTTCATCTCTTAGCCCATATACCTCATTACTTTAGTTACCTCACCCGTTTCCCCCTCACACCCTTTCTCCCCTTTCCCTCGCACACCCTACCCCCTATCCCCCTCACACCCCTTCCTCTCTTTTGTTGACTTATGTATTTCGTTTGCAGTTGGCAAGTCCGCCTGCGAGCAGCCCGCTTTCTATCGACTTTGTGTTCGTTTTAAACTTGCCTTCCTTACCAAGCACTTGAAAACTGAATAATTACATTCGAGGTATCCTATTCATTTATTATTTCAAGTATTAAATACTTTTCCCTCAAAATATTATGTTAATGTCATCTTCTTTCAATTGTCCCCAGTTACAAGACAGTAGCCAACTACTTGTGATAAAGTTGTCCCCATATTACTTGGACATTCTACATTCCTATTTGATATGAACATCGCATTCATGGGCGCAAATTGATTACAATAATAACAGAATTATATTTATAAACAATTTGTAATATTGTATTAAATTTGAATTGAGTTATTTGTTACTTATATGTCACTTGCCTGTACGATAGGTAAAAAGTGTAATTTTATTAAACGAAAGAAATTTACATACAAAATCTTTGCGTGTCTGTAAGAAAGTACGACATATCTAGTTTCGTATTTGTTTCTATAAAATAAAAAAACTTTATAATAAACATTATGAACAAATATTCATATTTTATTTTTAGCCGCTATTTTAACTAAGGAAAGATTGAGGCCCAAGGAGATCTGGCGAGATCCTATTTTATAATCTCGCAATGTTATGATCTCACCAAGTTTTAATTTTATTTTTACTTTTATTAGTCATTGGATACATGAACTGCGTTGCGTTTGTAAGAGGAATAAAAAGTCATAGTTTATAACGCTGAGGAGTTTGTTTGTTTATTTGAACGCACTTATCTCCGAAAGTACTTGTCCGATTTGAATAATTACTTTTGTATTAGAGAGTGCATTTCTTGAGGAACAATATAGGCTATAAAACATCACGCTGCGATGAATACAAGCCTTTCCGCGGATGAAACCGCGCGGTATAGTTAGTATAAATACATTTACGTTGGCAACCCAGCAATCTAGTTACAAAAATATGTAAAAAAGTAGCGAATAGTAATCGTAATTTCAAATATAAAATGACGATTCTCTGTGGACAATAAGGTAAGATTATACGCAATATTGACTGTACAATTTTACAAATTTAGTTTTTTTTACTGTACCTACTTGTGCGTATCTGTTGAATACATATGTATCTCTTTTTAAATGTTTTTCTGAAGAGTTGTCCGCTTGAGTACTTATCATTATATAACACCGGCTTTAAACTGAAACCACGCTAATGCCCGGGCCACACCAACGAGAAATGCCATTGCTTATCATGATGCCAACATGATACGTTCACCGTAGGTGTAGCCACGAGTCAACGCGATAATTTGACAACGGCTTTCACATTGCTGTTTGGCATGATGGGCATTCACGTTGAAATTTCACGTCAAGTGAAGCCACCTATTTTATCGCGGTAAAATTATCCCAATAATTATCGTAGTAAACATCGCGATAATCGGCATTCACGTTGACGTTAGTGTGGCCCCAGCATAAGAATGACTGCTAGTAACATATTCTTGATGACTATCTGTGATTATCAAGCCACCGATATAATTATTATTACATGTGTTTACAGATTCAAACGATGTCAGCGACGATCCACTGTTTGGCTCACATCCACACGTTATTGCAGCGGCCTGCGATCTTGATGCCTAACAGAAGCTTCACATCAATCGGCAGCTCACACAGATCGTTAATACGGTATGTATGTACATCTATATAGGTATATAAAACACTTGTGTTTGACTGACTCAACAGACAACTGTAGTTATTTGATTGACATTCGGTACAACGATGGTTGGGACCCGGGGTATGGCATAGTTTTTATCGATAAAACTTTTTTTTTATAATAACTATCGTGAGACATGCTAAATTAAGTAAAAACGCGGGTTACTCACGTGAATATACAGAGAAAAGCTCTACTAGTTTCGAACCACAGAGGGGTTCTACCTCATGAGCAGCGTGCGCAGCTCACTGTGAGCTGCGCGACATCGTCGATAAAACTTTTTGGGAACAGGTACTGTAGGTGAATAACCCCCGTGGAATTATTTATTTACCTCCATGAAACTATTAAAACACGGAAATAAATTGATCCTGATGGTGTTTGCTATAGCCATAAAATATAACTTGGAAGAGATTTATTCATAAACCCAAATTCCGTCAGAAGTCATTATTCCTCACGAACGAAGTCCACGGGCAATAGCTACTCCAAGGTCGTGGATAATCCGCGCACGCCTCAAAGAGCCATCAGACCACCACAGATGGGGCCCAATGGGATGATTTCCCCTCTCAAAAAAAGGATCGTGGATAAAACGCAATAAGTTACTGCGTTTTGCTGCGCCCAGGGTGAGAGCTCCCACTGCTCTGCTGTTAACGACCCTAACGGGATATTTAATGGCCTTTCTGACAGTTCATTTATCTTTCTGATGAAAAATGAATAACGGGGTGTGTTATACCTTCACCTTTGCAGGTCTGTGTCGGAGATAAACGAGATAACGGTTCCATCAGAAGAAGACACAAGCGAAAAATCTGAACTGGTGCCCATATTTGATAGGACTTTACAAAAAAGTGAGTACATGCTTTTAATATCAATGTAATCTACATTATTTAGCGATCAGCCTACTTTCCCGTTGAATCTGGCAAATATATCTTAGCTAGATTTGAGATTAGCCTATGCGTTATTTCAGACCCTGTCCCAAAATTCATCCCGGTCCCTTTAGTCGTTTTGATGTGACCAAGTAACAAACATACACACAGGGACCGTTAAACTATTAAATAGGTCGCAGTTTAACACCTTTTATTTCTTTTTCTACCCCTAAGAGGGGGACTCTTCTAGAGCCCCCCATTTCCTCCAACAGACTCACATAGCAATTAAGGGCCGTTCAAGTATTACGTAAGAACCACGGAGGGTTGGGGGGTTCTGTTTTGCTTATTTTGGATGATATGGGGGGTAGGGGAGTCTAGATGATGATTACGTCATCGGTAGATATTTACTTTTTTACACGAATGGCAATCCTCATATTGAAATTATGAATTACAATCAAAGACCGACAAAGAACTAGGCATTATGGTATTTAAGAGAATATTATGTTACAAAATAAAAACGGTATAATTTAAAATGTTTACATAAGCAACGGGGGAGGGGGCAAGATCTTTGCTTACTTTTGCTGACAAGGGGGGTGGGGGGGTTAATAATTGTAAAAAATCTGCCTACGTAATATTTGAACGGCCCCATAGACAAAAATAGAATTATTCAATTTGGTGCATTGCACATTTACTATTATACGTATATTTCAGTGGTATTCAGTTTCATTTACAGTGAAGCGGTGGTGCCGAGAGGTAGTGTTCTTATTCTATGTGTTTAGTTTTAGAGCCGCAATTAAAATGATATGAATTTTCCAGAGCGTCCTTTGAAGACATTCTTTTGGTTCCAATGGGTGGTGAGCCGCGCGACGTTAGTGTTAGCATCTGACATTGTGAAGTTGGCGCTGGACATCGATGACATCATCAGCACGGTCGATATACAAACCGAGTACAACCAGCTTAAAGTCAAGGTGGCATCAGCCTCCATTAAACATTATAAACGGTAAGTTTGCCTTCGAGACACGGGCTTTATATCAATTACTAGCGACCCGCCCCGGCTTCACACGGGTGCAATATGCATGTATTATACATACAAACCTTCCTTAAGAATCACTCTATCTATTAAAAAAAACCGCATCAAAATCCGTTGCGTAGTTTTAAAGATCTAAGCATACATACGGACATACAGTGAAAGCGACTTTGTTTTATACTATGTATTGATTAATTTTATTACAATTTGCTAAATATTGTTGTATCAATATGTAACATGTGCAGTTATTGATGCGATTCAGTACTTCAGATACTAATAATAATTAAGGTTGAAGAATATCTATTATACGTTAACATTTATTATTTAATAGATCCCAAATCAAAGCTTTTATGCTCACTCGTTAATTATTTCTATGGTTGTGCATAAGTTCAGGTCCAATTTCGATTAAAATTCAATCAATTTGCTTGATGTTCACTATTACTATTTATATTAACTTAAAGAACCAGGCAGAAAGTCCACATTTGATACGCAAGTCGCTAGTGGAGATAAATAATAATTTCTGAATCTTAACGAAAACGGGGCAATGTTCTAGGAATGAAATGGACGAATGGGTTACTGGAGTGATCGGCGGTAGGGTGCTGGAAGCTAGGGAGCCTACGAAAGCCGAAGAGGATACACATTTCCTGTCTGTCACCATCACACAAGCGCAGTAAGTCTTAATTACCTTATATCGCTTACTCACGTAACTGTTTGACGAGGTAACTCGACTATAGTCCATCTGTTTAGGTAATTAACTAAAGGTAAACAAACAAAACCACGTGACCCAGAGATACTTAACCTTCTATTACTTCAAATATTTCTCGTGTTTTAATTTAAAATAAATTCACTTTAACATCGTTCATTTGTCACACACACACATACAAGCACAAATGCCTAAATCGTACAAGAGCCTAGCCTATGGGTCTATTTCATTATCATGTTTAAATAGAAACTATTCTGAATCTGATGTACGGATTTCTTTCTTGTTCGGATATGTCTTTGGGCCAAGTTTCTTCAATATATTTGAACACATTAATTACAAACGATGAATAACCTAAACTTAAATAACGTAATAACAAAAACAAAACAAAAACAAGATAAATTCAACAAAATAGGAACGCGAGCGCAAACGACGAGAGAGCTGTCAATGGCGCCTGATTAACCGACTAAACGTAATACACGCTACTTTCATTGTCGCGCTACATCTTAATTGGACTCTTTGATTTGACAACATTATCTAATGCTTCGTTCAAAAAGAAAGGTTTTGGATACCTGGAATTTTAGGCTCTTTATGGTGTCTATTGTAATGAAATATTGTGTTATTTAATAAATGTTATTAAATTATTATGCTCAAGCAGATATATATAATATTTACTAAGAAATAAGTGAAAAGGAACAGAAACATAACATTTAATAGAGAAAACTGTCGTAAAAATGGAAACAATTTTATTTTCTTATGAAGTATTTTGAGTCATGGAAATGTCAACTATAAAGAACTCTTTTTATGGTTTGTTTACAAATAGTTAACTACCTAAACAGACGGAGTATAGGTTCAAGCCACGCTAGAGGCTCATAGTCATTACTCTACAAATGATTGACCACATTTATGAACACTTTCTACTATGGTGAATAAGTAATGTTTTATAGCCTATAGCCATCCTCGATAAATGCGCTATCCAACACAAAAATAATTATTCAAGTCAGACTTGTAGTTACGGAGATTATCGCGTTCAAACAAACAAACAAAACAAACTCTTCCGCTTTATATAATAGTATAGGATAAGATAATAATTTATTTGTATTTGTTCTTGAAGGGTATCTGACCTTCCCGCAAGCTGGAAAGAAGAGCTGCATCCTAAGTTATTGGAGTCTACCTCGGTAAGTTGGTCAATAATTGTGCGTAGCACTGCCTTCAGTGATGTTTATAATCGCTGTTAATTGTTTCTTGTGTTTTCGCTATTTAAGTTATCCTTTCCGGTTCGTCTTACATTTTTGTTATGTGTCTTGTGTCGTGCGTCTGGTATATGAAAGTAATAAACGGTACTAATTCATTCATATAGGAGAAGGAACGGGGTGGTTTTTAGTCAGTAAGAGTCTGACACTCCCTCCCGCCTCACCCAGGCGGGAGCAGTCATTCGATGACTTTCCCCGCTTAGAAAAAAATGCGATACCAATAGAAATGACGTTGCAAAATTTCTTGCATGTGCGCGTCCGACTTCCATGTACTAGAGTATTTAAAAGTAAAAAATGTAAACATCTCTTAGAATTTGACTTTAAAGTTTTTTTTTTTATTGGACACTGCGTTAATATTTATTATATTTTACATTGTCAATTTATTTTTGTATGAAAACAATTATGCAATATTCATATTAAGATTAGATTTTTAACATAATTTTCTATAAAACCAATTTATAAAATATTTTTCCCTAAAAAATATAACTAAATGAATTCAATAATTTCAAAATTACTATTAAAAACAGAAACAAACCTTGTTGTAGTCGCTTAAAATAAGTAATACATTAAAGTGTCTATTAAGGTAAGTGTACATTCAACAAATAATAAAATTACTTATTATATTACCTATAAATCCCAAGTAAGTGAGGCTTTTTTTTATTTATCTTGAATATTGAGAAAACATTGGCAACACTGATAAAATATGGCGGAAATTAGTTGGGTCCAAAACATAAATTAAATAATATAATTTTTAATTATTTAACGAAGGATAACCGATCTGTTTATTGCTTTTTAACCGTCATTTAGAATTTTGACACAATTCTATGGAACATGTGGCCATTTTTGCAATGTACTTTTTTGGTGACGAATTTATTTGTCATCCCCATCAAGTGATAGTAACGCGAACTATGTTGACTTTATGACAGAGGCATCTACTTTGCTGTCAAAAATTAACGAAGTCTTACGATGAATAAATCCACGATTATAGAATTGATTTAACGAGTCACGGGAATTGTCGCGATTTTAGCTGTGAAATCATCGTGCTTTGCTTGCTACAAAGTTATTCAACACGTAACGCGATTTGGAGAAATGAAAATCGTCATCTTGTGTTGCAAACAATAAGCCCGTCAATAAAGTTTCATACGCCCAATCCTTAAAACTTCCCTAATTGATTACCATTGGGTAATCGGTATGATCGTTTACTGACCCATTCCATAAAACATAATAACACAGACAGAGATGTCAATAACATATTCCCTACCTTCTGTCTTTTATTAAATTTTTGCAAGTAAACTAACTATGGATTTAGTAATAAATCCTCTTGTAAGTTAAACTTACAGTTTTAGTGAATAAATATAAGGGCGGAACCAACACGGTAGCCCTTATTAAAAAAATTGGATGTTGAACAGGATTCGAACGATTATTCCAACGTTTGGAATATTAACTGAGAGACATTACCTCGCTGACCTAACCAAACGTGTGTAACAAAACCATAGCGACTTTTAATTTGACTAGTAACGCCATCTAGAGAGTGAAGCAACAATAAACAGTGCCATCTAGGACGCTAAGGAGAAACTGTACTAGAAAATTGTGTTCATGTTTTGTGAAATGAATATTTGAATTAGTTCATAGCTGGGTGTTGAATAAATTAGTTATTATTTTAATAAAATTACCACCAAAGAACTGTTATGTTAAATATATTAACATTGCCGTGTTCTTTTACTTACTGTATATGAGAGTGATAGCATTATATTTTTTATTTGTTGCAGTCCCATGACACGATGTGGGAAGTGTTCGCTACCCTGGCCCCGCTAGAGGCGTTAGTACAGCCGAGTGTTATAGACAATATCATTACTCTGATCAGCGAACTGGTGCCAAGAGCATTTTGTCCCTTGAGGGCGGAGACTGAGAACAGGTACCCACTCTTACTTTATTATATAATAACTAGCTACTTCCGCTCGGTTTCACACGCCCTGCCCAGCTCCTATTGGTCATAGCGTGATGTTTTATAGCCTATAGCCATCCTCGATAAGTGCACTATCCAACACAAAAATAATTATTCAAATCATACTTGTAGTTACGGAGATTAGCGCGTTCAAACAAACAAACAAACAAGCAACTCTTCCGTTTTATATAATAGTATAAGAGTGTAAGATTAAGTTTGGTAGTTCATATCTTTTTTATTTTAAAGTTAGGTGCGTGAAACTTTTTGACTTTTATTTATTGTATTTTGATAAGTATTATAGTTTTTAGTTGGAGAAAGATAATGTTTAAAAAATAAACTAATAATTTACGTAGAACTGCCGCTGGGTCATTTCGATTCTCGGCCTTTCTAGTGTTAATTTTATTCCTTAGAAATGCAGTCTTGTAATGAAACACTCGCGCTGTGTTATTCGGTGCTACTATTCTCGAGCCAGAATCTTTGTAATCACTTGCTCGGCGACTGATGCTTATAAGCTGACAAGTAGAAACAATGAGACGATACTTTACTTACGCAATTCCATATTTTGAGTGTAAACTTTCCACATAAACCTAATCTCAAGTTTTCTAGTTATTTTTCTTTGATAAGGGCGCTTATTTTATGGTATGATGCCTTACATCGATTTTTGGTTTATCTAAATGATTGACTATTGTCAATGCACTCATAATACCGTTGTGTTGTAAGTGTACTTTAGTTTTTTTTTATATTTAATGGGCCGTCGGTTGACCCCTGTCTCGCTGGGTGGTAAGGTATGACGCAGCTTACGATGGAGCACGCCCGTCCATAAGCAACCTATAACCCATTATTATTATTATTATAAGATGGCAGCTTGCCATCGTATCCTAAAGTACATGGGTTCCTTTGTTTACTTACAGACTGTCAGATTGGCAATGGCCGTATTTGTATCTGACTGCCGGCGGCATCAGGGTGGTTGTTGCCGGAGAGGATGTGGGTAGAGAGAAATCCTTCGATGACACAGTCATTCTCTATGTAAGTATCGTTATCCTTCTAATATTATAAATATGACTTTCTTTTAAGTTTTCTCTACCTTACGTATTACATATCCATTTTACATTTATATTCAACCCTAGACTGATGCAATTACTTATCTCATCTGTGTCAACAAAAATAGCTAATACTTTGTTAAATGTCACATTTCAGATCGGTGCCGTAAATATTACTCCACACCCAGAAAATCCCATCTGCCGGTACGTATAGAATCATAACCAATAAGCAATATTCAAAAAGATATATTTATAAATTCTGCAATATAATTAAGAGCAATATTGAACCATTTTCTATCGTGAATAATATTCAATCACAAATAATCCATAATTTATAATAAATATTTGTGTTTTTGCATATACGTATGTTTTTAATGTTTTAAGTGTTTGACCAAATTTAAACATCCTTTCTACATTAGAGACCTGCATCCTTACCGAACAGCATAGCAAGTTATATAAAATTTAAATGGTAATCGGACAAAGCCAATTTAAAAAAAACCAAAAAAAAAATCCAGTTAAAATTACCCAATGAAGCTAATTGTTATTTATATTAAAGGCGAGCGGTTAACACGGGGCCTGATGGTGGCTGGTTGGCAGGCGCTAGCGGATTCGAGGGCCGACAGTACGAAGTTGTCGTCAAAGAAGTCTCCGTACAATCTACGAAGTTCAAAGCTATAGCACTCGCCGAGGTGAGCGTCTATAACATCTTAATTTAGTCGTCGTGTGTACTATAGAGGAGTGAGGAGAAGTGCGCCGTCGAATACTTCGAGTGTCTCGGTCTAGGGAACCCTCGGTAGAAAAATATATCGCAAAATATTCAATAACTAGCTTGTGCCCGCGACTTCGTACGCGCAATCCCGTTTTCTCATGTTCCCGTAGGATTTGCAGGTTTTTTTTCCTGTCATAAGAACCTCCTTCCGATCATAACAACTGCAACATATCAGCAAAATCGGTCTAGCCGTTCCCAAGTTGTGGCGTGACAACGGGAAACGGGTTTCATTTATATATATATATATATATAAAAGACATTTACGTCGTCACTTCGGATTGTGGTTCTGGTTGTTTTGTCAGTGGCGTGACGAAGAGTGGAATTGAATGAAACATTATCATGTTGATCGGACCTTCGTCAGGTGCTAATGTAGAGGGTACTGCGTGGCAATACGCTGGTGGAACATGGCTTAGAGTTCGAGATTACAGTGACGATCTGTCGTTGCCGACTGTTTTCCAAGTTATGGTATGCATGAGATCTACGCATGGTGAGGCGCGCCTTGTAGTTCTCTCAGATTTCCATGTATAATAATATCAGTTATATATTTAGGGCTTATATCATTGATTGGTTATTTATTAACAGGCAGTCTTAGACAACACTAAAGGCATGACGACTGAGAATCCTGCGCTAAAATGGAGCCAACGCACCAAGATCCCACAAAAGGTTCCCATATTACACTCGTGAGTATTTCACCTATTTTTTTTACATCTATTTATCACTAAGGATAAGGACCAATGTGTGTAAATAAAGTATAGTCATACAATTTGTTAGTAGATTGTTTCTTCATAATCAATTTGAAAAAAATGGTGTGAATTGGGTAGTTTCCTGGGTCCAAAATAAATTATTTTGATTGTTCAGTCCGATTAAATATTGAAAAATAGTTACACTTTAATTAATTGATTTGCCGATGTACTTAATTTTCGATATATTCTAGAATCTTTTTTAGATACAAATGTACTATTTGACGCGAAAATATGATGACGTTATAAGTTGGCATTTCATACAAAATTCATAGAACAGTATTGTATTTTGACGTTTCGATAAAAGTATTGAATTTGACTAGTCGTCAAGTACCGTATTATCAGAAGTAAGTTCAATGTTAATAATTGAATTTGATGCGTGTAAATCTGACTACCTATGGGTGCTTCAGTTGTTGGTTCAAAAAACTCCCCACGTCTTTATCAACGTCCTTGACTTTTATTTGAATTGTGTATAATATTAATGATTTTGACTGTATGGTACTTGCAGTGTCGAGCTCTGCTGTGTGCTAGCTCCGGCGATGTACGTCGGTGGCTTGCTGGCCTGCGGTCCCGCGGTTGAGCTGAACCTGGTGTCAGACTGCAGTATAGAGATCAGTGTGGATCAGCTCGTCCTCTTGAAAAACCTGCAACAAGAATTCGTCTTTGACTTTTCCTTGGAACAGGATAGAAGTTGGTTTGTAGTTTTTTTATTAAGAATAATCTAATTATTAAATAATTTATTTTTGATTAAGGCAAGTAGCCTTAATCAAAAATAAATTATTTCGACTGTTTAATACAATAAAATATGAAAAAACAATCACACTTTTATTAATCGTATTTATGAAAAACTTAAATTTAGTATTTTACCAGCAATTTTTAAGAAAAATGTTTGCTGTTTGACGCTAAAAAACGTGACGTCACAATACACAATCTCGAACAAAATTCATAGAAAAACTGTCGTTTTTGACAGTTCGAAAAAAGTCTAGTTGAGCTTGACTAGTTGTCAAGTACCCAATTTGGAATGATTATTGCTCTTAGAGCTGCGTGAAGGTTTGTTGACCTTACGCCTGAGTACTTAAAGGGTACTCAATTTAATATCGTGCCATCTCTGTCATTGTACAAAGAATTTGTAGTGACAGAAGCGCGACTTAAAGTTGAGTGGCGCTTGAGTATTTCGACATTAATGTTTTCGTATGTTGATGAAGAAGCATTACTTCATTAAACTGTCAAACACCAAGCGGTCACCGGTGACCGCAACCTATTGTTCTATAATTGTGTCTATAATGACGGTACTCGACGAGTTAATCTGCACTCTAAACCAATGATTATAGGTCATATATCAATTGTTTAAATTAAATTGCAAGGATGAGCAACATTTTCACGCGTACCCGGTTGTCGGTGGACAAGGACAGCGTCTGCCCGTACGCGAACATCATCACCAACCAGCTCGACCACACTCCAGTCTTCGACGAACCCGTCATCGAGAATGTCATAAGTAATATTTAATTTACAATTTTTATAACACCACGAAGTACAATAATGTCATGTTTTTGTAATAACTATCGTGTGACATACTAAATTAACTAAAAATCGCGGAATAATCATCTCAGGAGGAAGAACCCCTCTGTGGTTCGAAATTAGTAGAGCTTTTCTCAGTATATTCACGTGAGTAACCTGCGATTTTTAGTTAATAATGTCGTGTGTCACCAGAAATCCTTAGTCACACACTATACCACAGTTTCTGAATGGCTTGTCAATCAATCAATTTACAACGAATAAATGTCATGTATGTGAGAAAATTACGTAGTAATAAACTACGTTCTACGTGGAAATGGTAGCCTTCTCATGGAACTGAAGAAGTGACACATGATCACACTCACAGCCGACTCAATATTTATTATTTATATGTTTCCAGCGATTAAAACGTCCACTGAGACATGTCGGACGACTTACGACTCTGGCGTAGAGACCACAGTCTCTTCTTCTAAGACCAAGCTGACTGACGACGTGCCCATCAAAAAGTCCGTCTCCATAGCCTTTGTAGAAACGTGAGTCATTTGCTACTGTTTTTGTATAAGCTTTTTACCTTGAGAGGTATGCTTCGGTATGTATGAGGTGGCTGGACCGGAGTAATGTCACGACCCCAAAGGAAACTGACGTGGAACAACGCATGCGTTGTGTTTCACTGAGTCAATTAGGTTTTGGGAGGCTCAGTCCTCCCCCTCTACCCCCAATCCCCTAATGCCCAGTCCTCCCCCTTACCCACAATCCCCTTAATGACCATTCCTCTCCCCTTTACCCCAAACCCCCTAATGCCCAATCTTCCCATCTACCCCCAAACCCCTAATCCCCAACCCCCACACCCAATAGGCTAGCAACACACGTGTAACTCTTCTGATGTTGTCTATCAAGTGATTCACGAGGTTGTTTACCGACCCATCCCAGATCATAAATAGTGTTAGAAAGAATGGTTTTACAAACGTCTCATACGCAACCAATACTTAGTCGTTTGTAGATTGTTTCTAAGCAATCCTTGTTTTTAAGCTCCCACAGCTCCAGTTTTATGCAATTACTTCCATCATTTTTTAGGGGGGATGCGTCGAACTTTCTGGAGGTGTTTGTGACGATGGGTGTGATAGACCTGTCGCTATACGTGACAGACGACGGCAGCCCTGAGGTGATAGCTCTCAGACCACCTTCCGTCGAAAACGTGCAGCCCGTTACACCGATCCCACAACAGGTAACGCGTTATATAATGTATTTTTATTGCACTAGCTATCATTAAAATGATATTTCTAAGCCAACACTCGATTAATATCCGTTTAATTGTAATTCATCCCCTATAATACGTCCACTGACTGCCTCACTAATCAAGTGGTGTGCGTCTTATCCTACACTTATTGTAAGCATGGATGTTAGGGAGCTCCGTAACCGTAATCGAAACTATCGGATATCCGATATAAAAAATATCCGTAACCGTAAGCGAATCCGAAATAAAAGTTTCGGATAATATCGGATAGGGGCGTGACGTATAAATGAAACCATTATATTATTAACTATTTGTATTTTACTTTTGAAATTCCTTAAAATTGTAATATCCGTAACCGAAATTATCCGAAACTAACTGATAATCAGAAATAATTTCATATCCGTATCCGAAACCGTATCCAGTATAATAATCATTTATATATGCGTATCCAATCTGTATCCAAAATTTCATAGACATTCGCGTTCAAGGTTAGTGTGGCCCCAGCATTAGAAACTGGATATTAGACACAACTTTTATTGTTTATTTTGAGATTTTTGATTTTTCGTTATGGTTTCCTGAATCAAAGCACAATACGTTTATGGTGTTGTAAGAGCTGACTTAGAAACTAAAACCGAGCATTTAACAGAGACCAGGCAGCACGCAATCTGATAAACTTTTTAAACTAAATCGCCAACCTCCTTGCAAAGCGTGTAAATTCTAACAAACCACTTTTATAAAGACTAAGTCCATTGTCCTATAGTGGCCTGTTAGAGCCTGTTGATGTGATATGTGTCTCTATTTCAGTGTACATGTTAATAAAAAAATGTCTATTGTTTATAGCAACCAGAAAAGGAAGACGATGAGAAAGATGTCGTGTCACCGGCGTCAAGTCGCAGTCTCACTGATGCGATGCGAGACGTTGACATTGGAGCGACAATGCTGCACACGCAGGCGGTAACTTGTTGACTACTAAGACTTACTGTCCATGACGAGTCATTTGACCTTATAGTGTGGGAGGATGCTACTTCTCCAGTCGAGCCGGTCCATACATGTTATTCAGCCGGTCCATTCCAACACGCTGGTACAATCTCGCAGTTATCATTTCTCAAACGCAATCTGCATAAAACTCTTCGCTCACTGAGTGACTGATGAACATGCAACTAAACGAAACTATTAATGGCAATAAATCCGTAATTGCTATGTGAGTCACATAGCAATAACGGATTTGTTGGAGGAAATGGGGGGCCCTTAAAGAGTCCCACTACTTCACCCTAGGGGTAGAAAAAGAAATAAAAGGTGTTAAACTGCGACCTATTTAATCGTTTATTGATTCACTTTTGGTTTGTGCATCGGAGGGGGTAAAGGGATGTCTTGTAGGGGTGCACTAAGAATGTTAAGAATTTCTTCCCTACCGAGAGAAAAGGGGGTAAACTGAAACTTTTTATATTAATGGATAAGGTGTTGGCATAAAAGTATACACCGTGATATTTTAATGGTTGTTTTCCCACAGTAAAATGATTCTATTTTAGTAGTACAATAGATTGAGAAAGTTGTTTTTAATTTAAATAAAAAAATAGCAGTTTTACGATAGTGATACACGAAACTTGGAAGAAACCGCGAACCAATAGTACCGCCGCGACCGGCCACCGGCCGCTGTCATTGTCGCTCGCGCTTATCAAAAGGCTGATAACTCAGTATTTACTAACAAGTGATTTCCATTTTCCCTTCATACTTTAACGGACTTAGGGCCGTCGTAAATACTTTTTAATTACACTTACTAAACACAAACATAAAACAAAATTTAATCAAGAGATATTATCTTGTTTATTACTGAATTTGGGAAAGTATTTATGGCGTATTTAAAAAATGGGAATCAACGTATTTACAATGATTTTAATCACCTATCTTATTGTTTTATTTACAAATGTACAAGTACTTACACTTCCCGGTAACGGAGCAATTGTTCAAAGTGTAAGCCACCGCGTTCCACACACAATCGTGCACGTTTTAACTGATTGGCTTTCAATTTTAATAATGTGTCTCTGTCACGTCTAATCACATCAAAAGCGTCCACTATCGCACTTTTTAACGCGTCGCGAGTTTCGTACTCTTGCCGATACACAAGGCGTTTGAGATTAGACCACAAATAAAAGTCTAGTGGAGTAAGATCCGGGCTTCGTGGTGGCCATGGCACTGGCCCGCCACGACCGATCCAACGCTGGGGAAACACCGAGTCGAGGTGCTCTCGCACGGCGCGCTGATAATGCGCAGGGCAACCATCGTGCTGGTAATACAGGCCATCCATGGGCACTGCTAACGGAATGTCATCTAGTAAGTCCGGGATAACACTACGTAGCATTTGTAGGTACGTTTCACCGGTTAAGTGTCCTGTCACAAAATGCGGACCAATTAAGCAGCCGTTTATTATACCGGCCCACACGTTTACACTAAACCGCACTTGATGCGCACATTCCCGAATAACGTGTGGGTTATTAAAAGCCCAAAAATCATAATTCGCCCTCGCGTACAATTGCACCATAGCTACGTACTCCACATTAGAAAAAACGTAATGGCGATCCATTTTGGCGGCAATAATATTGTACTGCGCTTGCGTGGTTGCGCGGACGGCGTTCGCGGTGCGACTGGTGTGAATGAAAGCGATGCGAGGCGATGCG